TTTTTGCATATAAAACATATGAAGACTGATTTTTAAAAAAAAATTATTTATTTATTTAATTTATTTTTTTTACATAAAATTATTATTTTAATAGTTGATTTCTTGGCAATAGTTTTGAGGTCTGCACTATTGGCATTTCTCACTTTTTTCTGAATTTTTTCCAATCAAACAATCAATCGATTAGTGGATAAAATAATTAGCAGATGAAGTCATAATTAAAATAATCATTAGTTGCAGTCTCGTACAACATAGCTCCACCTCAACTAACTACAACAAAGTGTGTTATTAGTACTTTTACTTAAGTAAAGGATCTGAATACCTCCTCCACATCTAACACAGACACACACTGATGGCTCTGTTCATCCAGCTGCGTCCTGACGAAAGAAACGCTTTGATTGAATTCAAGGGTCGAAGTCTTTTACTTCTCGATGTCTGAGATGCAGCCCAGTCTGGCTGACCTAAATACACAAACACAACTGTTGCTCTGTGTCTCCTCACAACAACCTGAACCTATTTGTTCAGTCGCAGTTATTTTTAGTGTGAAGCAAACTGATGGCCTCCTTTTTTTTCTTTTAATTGGAACGCTCATTAGCGTTTGCACTTGAACGTGCTTGTAATGTACAGCATATATATGTTTTTTTTTATTGTAGTTTCATATGCACACAGGCTTTTTAACTACAACTCACTGTTGCACTCGTACACATCTGGGAATGTGCCCAGAATGACTTCACTCTTCTGCTGCAACCCACTCTGCAGCTCCAGCAGGACATTTCAACACTTCACTTCAGTTTTGCCATTATTTGCTCACTTTATTATTTGCTCATGTTGTTAGCTGACAGGGGTCAAAGATACTTGGTCTTCTTGCTGCTGTAACCAGTCTGCTTCAAGGTGCTCAACAAAACTGTATTGCTATGCTTAATTTGCTATCTGCCATTCTCCTCCCTCTCACCAACAATGTATTTTTACTCATGTGGGGCAGTTGATTAAATGTTTCTTTGTTTATTGAAACAATCTTGGTAAAATCTAGATGCTGTTTTTTCACAAAAAACATCTCTCTCAAGGTTCCACTGGATTGTTGTACAAAGTTTAATTGAATTTTCAAAAACCTGGAAAAGAATTGTGCATCAGCTTTGAAAATATTGTCAAGAAGATGCATAAAAAGAATGCCAGCAGCTCTAGGAAATCATAAAAGTTCATGGCTGCTTCTTTTCTAATATCCAGTACGTGGCAGCAGTATGGCAGTGATGCATCTGCACTGAGTATAACAAAAGATTAAACAACTGAAGTAAAACAGGAAGGTCCTACAAAAATATAATGTACTCTTTTATATTGACTTATATTACTTAAACCATTCCAGAACTGCTGCAAACTACCACAAAACAAGAAGCTGAAAGCAAAAACAGCAATGAAAAAAGATGAAAACATCCACACACTTATCCACACTTTGTGACCAAAAGGTTTGATATGTTGGCAATAGAAATACATAAGCCGATTACTTTGTCATGTCTGTTGGTGAAACTTTTCCACCACAGCCATTCATCCAATATTTGACACATTTAGGCTTTTTTGAATTTCTTACATTTATATTTTTTACAAATTAAAAAAACTCATAAGACATAACATAAGAACAGATGGATAGAAAGTGATTATGCTGTCAGATGCAGGAACTGGCACATCTGGCAGCAATAATCATGCTGACATTCAAGAGTCATCTAACCCATTGCAACTTTTTATTTTCATAAATATAACTATCTGAAGAAGTGAGCTGTGTACAGTAAACATGAGACATGAATTCAGATTGAACTGGACATCTTTGTCTCCCTGAGGAGATTGTGACACTTATTTTGACAAAATACAGTGACCATGTTAGTCCTGTGGCCTGTGGGCTGATGGGAAGTCAAGTGTCAGAGTGCTTGTTGTGGTGTGACACTTAGGAGAAGGTTTAGTCATAGTCTGGGAGTTTGGCACACAGATCTCGTCATAAAACGATGGTTTGGCAGAAGCACAAGGCATCCGGAGCTGCTATGAGGTGTGATGTTGTGTGTTCGAATGTTTGTATCATGACATGTATGTCATTAGGTGTGTATGTGTGAATGTAAGGAGTGGTGTATTTTACATAATTCAATGATAATAAAAAATAATGATTAATTTAACAAAATGTTATCAATAAAGATGCAAAGATGCTAAAAGTACTGCTGTCCAAAAAACAAATAAACAAACAGACAAAAACAACAACATATATCTCTAAAAAAAAAATTAAAACACATTTGACTGTCTTACACACTCAAACACAAATTTTGGAGTCACATGGTTTTCACAGGAGACTAATTCTTTCTGACCTTATTGAAGAAAAAACTATAGAGGACAAAATAGAAATAATATACAAGAAAAAAATACCAATGCAAAACAATACAGAAATGGAGTTCATAAAACTGGTTATGTACAAATACCAATGACCTTTTCTTACTTAAAAGCTAAATTTGATTCCCCAAAAACTCCCATAAACAGAAACATCGTATAAACCATAATTTATGTAATTACCAACACGTCATGAGTTCTGACACGGTGCTCCAGTCTTGGTTTAGAGACAGATCATCCTCTTCATCCAAACAGAGTGAGAAAACAGTTAATGGCTTTCTGTTTTGGCTGGTGCACTCAGCAGGTGTCGGGAATAATCCTGATGGATGGAAAACGGAAAACGTCTGAGATGATTATTGGTGCCAGAGCATTAAAGGAAGGCAAGACGTCGCGTTTGGAATGCACAACCCATAATCCACAAAGATGAATCATGGAGCTGTAATCGCAGTTGTTGCGATTACACAATAGGCTTTACTTCACTTCAAGGAATGTAGGGAAATAGGAAGAAGCCTGTGTGTGTATGTGTGTGTGTGTGTGTGTGTGTGTGTGTGTTGTTGTTAGACATGACAGCATTATAAAGTATCCATCAGTCTTGCAAGACTGATTTGGCCTGGCTTGGGTTGACTTGAGGGGTGAAGCAGGAAAAAGACCCGAGGATAAGAGTGGTGATAAGAGCAGAAAGGGGAAGAGAGAGGAGGCGAGAGTAACTGTGGTAGATGAGAGGAGGAAAAATAGAAGAAAGGAAAAAGGCAAAGGAAAAAGGAGAATGGAGGGAAGAAAAGGAAAGGCGAGAGGAGAAGCAGGAAGCCAATAGTAAGAGGAGAAGAGGACTAAAGGAATGGAGAGGAGACGAGAGGAGGAATCAGGAGAGCAGAGAAAAAGAGAGGGAAGGGAATAAGAAAAGGAGGAAAGGAATAAAGAGAGGAGAGGAGAGGAAAGGAAAGGAGGATATTCACAGATGGAGAGGTTGTTTGGGGAAAACCGAAAAATGAAAGAATGAAAGCATGAAGAAAAGAGACAAGAAGAGGAGAATGTTGCCTTTGATACAGGGGTGCTGAGGGGTAATTTCTTTGTGCGTGTGTGTGTGAGTATGTGTGTGTGTGTGTATGGGGGGGTGCAGTCTGGGGTACAATAAGGGCCTGACAGGACTACAATGGAGACTCTGTTAGTATGCAGGTAGTGTTGGGGCCACCCTGCAATCTCCCTAAGTGGCCCCAGGGCAAGACCTTACACACACACACACACACACACACACACACACACACACACACACACACACACACACACACACACACACACACACACCACACACACAAGAGCAACAACTTCTAAACAAGTTCAACTTCAGTGTGGATGTGTACAAGTTGATCTTACACACACACACACACACACACACACACACACACATGCACACACACACACACACACACACACACACACGCGCACACACACACACACACGCAAATGCTCCCACAGAATCAGAGAAGAATCACACACAGAAATTCATTTTTATTTTGATACACGATACGATACGACAAGTTGTAGTTATGATATTTCTGTGTTGAAAAACTGTAGGCCTACAACTGTAGGCCTTTTTGTGAAAACACTGGCACTCATATGCAGAAAAACATTGCATTGATGAGCTCGGAGGTATATGATTCTGATAGATTGGACAATTGGCAACCGGTTCTTAAGTGGAACCGGTTCTCGATTCCCATCTGTATTATAATATGATATGATACACAGATCTGGATCCATAATCCAAACATTGCATCTTCACAGGTCCTGTTTTTCTAATGACATACACAACAACATAAGCTCCATGTAGAGTAAGGCAGCGCTGACTGTAGTTGATGTATATTCCCCAGAGGGCTTCTGTTTCCTCAGAACTTCCATTATCAGTGTGTTGCTTTTATCTATAAGGGATACTGTTGGAGAAATGAATTAACCTCCCTTCATGCTGCTGGCAGCTGTCATCACATAGACCCCAACCAATTCAACATGAATTCAAGCTTTTCAAGAGTGGCAGATAATTTTTTAATGTACACATTTGTGGTTGAAATGTACCATTACCCCGTTGACACACTCTTGCCACCAACCTTCTTATGCTGCATCACCACAACATCCACCGTATGCGCTATACTTTTGTTATTGTTTATTATACTATACTATTTAGTATATATTTATTAGTATTAGCTCTCCTGGCATATTCCTTATTGCTGCTCTGATTCTTTGAGAGCTCCCTAAAAGAGCACAATTTAATTGTCTATAAAACTGTCTAAAATGTGCTATAAATGATCAATTCCTTTGACAGATGATAAGGACACCTATTCTTATATCAGTTAGTGGTTGTTCTTGGTTGATGCTTTGGCTTGCAGTATGTGTACACATACAAGGAATACTACGGTTTTTGAAATTCCTCTCAATGTACTTACACACACTTTTAACAATTTACAGGAAGATAGAAATATACATACAGCTAAATACAAGGACGACATAGCTGAACAAAGATAAGTCAACATAGGCATAGAGCTATTATGCACATACAAGTAGGTGCATAATAGTTTGGAAAATAGTATAATAGTTTTATGCTTATATGCTTATAATAGTTTGTGGTGCTTTTTAACTCCAAATGTTTGTAGATACAGAAAGAGATGCCCAAGTCCTCCCAGCTTGCAGCGACCCCAGGCTCGAATCCAGACAACATTCACTGGTTCATGTGTGGGAAGCCGGTGAGGGATCATATTCTTGTCATTGAATTAGCAACTCTTTCTAGTTTGTTGGGGCAGAGAGGAGGGATCTTCAGGAATAGTATCAATACCATCCTAGTGATGTGCCTTGCTGATGACACCCTCTCAAGGCCAACAGCGGAGTTAGCAGTGACAAAAGCTTATTGCTGAGAGAACTGGGCATTCCAAAAATGAGAGAAAATGGGAAAATGTTTCAAAAACTAACTAGTAAAAACAGTGGTAATATGGCGGGAGTATACATTTGACACAAAAAGAACTCCAGGTATGAAATCCAGTACACAGCTAGTGACAGAAAATAACAGTGATAGACATGATAGTGAAATGATAGGAGTTGATAGTAAAAGTTGTTGTATATATATAAATATAGATTATTATTATTGTCAATGTAAGCTAGTGATTGGACAGGATCTGATAGGACAGAAAGTTGGCCCTCCTTCCTGACTAAAACCTCCCAAGAATGTCAAAATCATAAACCTGACAAAAGCATCTAACAGCTACTTATTTTCAAAGGTTTACTCAATTTGATTTTATTGTTCTTGGGTGCAGACACAGAGTGATAAACACAGACGGCATGTAGAGACAAGACACAAGATAATAAGTAGTAAGAGTGTAACTACAAGTCAGATGATTTATGGGAATGAGAGTTTCTAAGTTTTCTAATTCATGTTGGCCGTTTGTTGAGACATTTGTTGAAATTGCTTTGGTCTGGGGATTCGGTCAAAATGAAAAAGTATCAAGATACTTAAAGGCACACTATACAAGATTTTTCCCTCAATATAACAGCTTCGAAGTCATTTCGATGGTAAACAAACTCGTAGTATATCGAATCATCCCGATAGCAAAGCTGGAGAGGGATGCCGATGGCAGAACCAGCAACGCAAGTCTGAAAGGTGGCGTCCCGCCAAATGTCGCGAGAATCACAAATTGCTTTACGGCACGACGTCACATACATCAGCAACATAAGAAGCAGCCTCAATGGAAGACACTAGCAGGCATTCACTCAGACGTTACCTGCTCAGTAGACATCTTGGGAGTCTATCTTTGCCTGTTTGATGTCCGATGCTTCCATCCTACTGAACATGTACCGGTATATAGGGGGGAGGGGATCAGGCCGTGAGTGCAGAGACGTATATAGAGACGGCTCTGGTGAGTGGTATTTACGACAGTTAATGTTAAATACAAGTACTCCGCAGCGACTCTAGGGGTAGCTGTTTGACAAAACTGGAAAACTGCATAGTATGCCTTTAAAGCTAAAGGAGAACACTTAATCATATTGACAGAACAAGTATGATTTTGAAATTACTTTCAATGGACTAACTGAACAATGCAGTGTTAATGCAATCTCTTCTGCCGCTAGCTCAAAGATCTTTCCTGTTTTCAGCATCAAATTATAACTCCTTCTCTTGCACTTTCTTCTCTCTCTTGTGCAGGTACGCCAGAGTCGCTGGAGGAGAAGGAGCGCCAGCTTTCCACCATGATCGGTCAGCTGATCAGTCTGAGGGAGCAGCTCCTCTCTGCCCATGACGAGCAGAAAAAAATGGCCGCCTCACAGCTGGAGAAGCAGAGACAACAGATGGAGCTGGCCAGGCAGCAGCAGGAGCAGGTTAGGGGGGGATTCCAATTGGGGTGGCGTGGTGTTGTTGATGTTGTATTGTCTAAAGTAGTTGTGTTAAGAGAAAGAAGAAAGAAAGAGCGTAGTTATTATACCTGAAATGTAGTTTATTAATTTCAGGTATGATAACATTTTACTCACTCACATCATTGCTGCATTGATTCCAGTGGGTTAAAAAAAACATGTGCAGTCAGGTTGGAAACACACATACACATAAAATTAGAAAAAAGAAAACCGAATGCAAATTTTTAAATTATTACCATATTTAATGACCATTAGGAACTGCAAACTGACTTCTTTTGGCATCACCTCCGCATAAAGTTGTTTAGATCAGTGGTTTCTAGACCATAATGCTTGTGACCCCTTATTAGCTGTTCATGCTCTCCTATATTTCGATTCTCAATTCATACAGTATTTTGCAAGAAAAAAAACTAAGATTTAAGAAAGGCATGATAATAATCATCATCTTGTAACACCTTAGATTTGAGTTCAACCTTCATGATTGCCTGGCCGTTCATATCCTTTGCCTAGTTGAACTTTTTTCTAGTGATGTTGATGTCATCATAAATGAAAGTAATGAGGACTGAAACACTAATAAGTTGCTGTCTGTTGTTTATAAGGGTCGCCATTAGCACCAGCATAAGCATTGGCTAAAGTTGTGAAGCAGCAACGCATATTTCTTAAAATATGTGTATGTGTGTTTGTGTGTATCCGTGGCTTCAAAAGTTGTAGACAAAAATACTGCTGCTGATGCGTGAGTCTTCAGGTGTCAGTTGTAGAAAAAATGTGTGTGTGCCAGAGAAAGAGAGAGAGAGGACCTAAGCAGAGATGTGTTTAGGTGAGCTGTTCTTTGTTTTTCTGACACGTTACTGTAGATCGGCATACGACAGGCTCTGTTTGGACAAGTCCACACCTCCCATCACAACACATTCCACCTTTCACAGCTTCACAAAGGAACAGGGAAGATGGAGAGAGTGAAAAGAAAGACAGATTCCAATATCAGCCAGTCATTTGGCTGTTGAGACTTGATAAGATAATGCCCTACAGACAAACCCTGAGAAATCTGCCTTTAATGAAATATGACATGTGTGCAAATGGGGCGCCGCCTCCCATTCAGCAGCCTGTAATTACATTTCAGAATAAATATACTAAACGACTCCTCAAGAAAAAAGAGAGGCAGCTGTGTGGGCAGGATCAAATAGGTGACGTGCTGCCCCTTTAAGGATTTTAACCTTACAGGACTGGCCAGTCCCATCTGCCCATCATTGGACGACACTCTAACAACCCTTCAGCATTTCACTTCAGATGTTTTTTCTTAACAATCTTACATCAAAACAACAAATAACTATGATCACCTGTCCTGTTGATGGGTGTATGGGGTGGTTCCAGAGGCATGCTGGGTGTTTTTGGTTTGCCTAGTAAACATGTCAATCTCACAGGTTCAGTGTCAGTTAAGAGATTCGTTCAGGAACTCTCCACTCTGCTAACTGTGTGAATTTGTTGCCCCATCCGTCAAACAGGGTTGAAGCCCTTTGAGATAATAATCAGGAGGTCAAACAGGCACCTAACTAACTGCCACTGATTTACTGTACTGCGTTCAAGACATTTTTGACCTCATTGGAATTCAACACCACAGTTCAGGCTCTGGTCGCTCCACTTTTGCCTTTATTTAATACATTATCTTGTCTTCTCATGTCTTTCTCAAGATTGACTTGTTACTCAATATCTGAACTTATTGTTACCAATTTTAACGTGTAACCAAAGTTTAATGTCCCCATGGAAACCAAAAGTTTTTTCTTGCTGCCAAAACATGGTATTCACCATAAATCATCAAATTATCAAAATAATGAAAAAGCAATAACTATAATTTAATCCTGATTTCATCCTGCATCAACCGTCTTGGAGCGTAATTGTTGAAGATGTAATGCCAAAACATCAAAGCTGTGGTAAATCAAGATTTTAATGGGGTCATCAGTTCAGTGTGCGTGCACCCTTTCTTTGATTAATCTCTTTCACCCAGATTTTTGTATTAGTGATACTGTAAAGCAGATTTTCTCACATAGAAAATTAGAATAATAATAAACACAATAATTAACACAATTTGCCACATTAAAAACAATAAGAACAAGCATAAACATACTGAGCCCTACTTATTCCTCATCTTCTCAGAATTCTGGAAATAGAAACAGAAATATGAATGATACACATTGTTGTTTTTTATCAACATTTTCTCTCTATCTCTTTGCGTGCACAGATCGCCAGACAGCAGCAGCAGCTCCTGCAGCAGCAGCACAAGATAAACATTCTTCAACAGCAGATCCAGGTTAGTAGGCAGACACTCCTACTCAGTTACACACACCTACACACACTCTATAAACACTCTTTACTTTGGTTCATTCCTCACATTTTCGAGTTGACTTCTGCCCTCTGCAGACTCCCCTCTTTTCTTCTCCATTGCCTCTTCTTTGCTGTGTCCATCTTTCTGAGTAAAATGTTCATTTATTGTCTTTTGCCCTTTGTCTGGAAGTGTAAATTTTCGTCCTGTTCCTCCAGTTCCATTATTATTGAGTCTTGTGTTATTGGAAGACAGCAATAACATTAGAGGTTGTGACCTTTCTGTTACGCTTCGCATGCTATTGAGAAGTACGACAGTTACGCTGCACCAGTCTTGCATTAATATGCAGGCATTCAGATACACACACTCACACAATGGGGCCCCAGTAATTGCCCTGGTTATGGCTTGACCGTTAACTGTTGCATTGAGCACTCGGTATTGATATCCCAACATCCTCGATGCTTCTTCTGACTCTTTCACTTTCTCTAGTTGTATATTTATCAACATCTGTTTTCTCTCTTCACCCCAACATGCACTCCCCTCTCTGTCTGTTTCAATCAAACATTTTATTTTACCCTCACACATACTCTCATCTCATGTTATGACTTTCTTCTTTCCATTTACCCGTTTTGCAGCTTTCATAAATCAAGCCCTATAACAATGAATTGAAAAAACAAAACAAGATAAGCTTTATAAAAAGAGGATGTAAACAATATATCTTTATCTATATAGACACATGCAGATAAAAAAAAGATTTTGATTGATTCACACTTTCTTGATTTCCTTTTCTTCTTCCATCTGTAGTTCCTATATCTGTTTCTGAGATCTGAGATTTGTGTGCACTGTATATACATACATACTCACCAAGAAATTACCACCAGCTGCGAGCCAAAAGCTGGTAAATTTGTGCGCTGTGGCTGATAGCCATGTGGGAAGTTAGCCAGCTTGTATTTCACCGGTTTATTTTATTTGAAGTTGTTGGATTGCTGCTGAATTAAATCGGCTTTGGAGACTGATCTGAATCCACTTGTTCGGCGTCATCCCATGCCCTGTTTACCCCCCATTGGTCCCAAGCTTTGGAACTCCCTGTGCTCCGCAGGTGAGATCTAGTTAACGAGGGCTCGTTTTTTCCCCCTCTTCTTCTTCTTCTCCTTTTTTATGACGAGGCCCCACCCTTGGATCTTAATAAAGCTCGGATCGGACTTCATTACGCCTCTGAGCCCCAGGGGAGAGCGAGACTATAAAAACCAGCTCCTATACTCGGATCTTCTTCCACGCTGTGAAGCATGGATACTGTGTCGTGTTTGACTTTGAGGATGAAGGGATATGCAGAAAATAGCTCTTGAAAGCAGCATGTTATCATGTAGAGCTTCAGAAGCATCTGCTGTAGATTCCGGTGAAACCTATTTCACCGTATCTCTTGTTTCACACGTATTTTCTATGTTGAATTTAATTTTAAATGGACAGAATTACTTGAATCTGCTGTTTAATAAATGGACAGATATTAAGGCACAAAAAAGACCAAAACAAAACAAATTTGAGTTTTGAGTTTTTTTGAGTTGGAAAGTTGCTAAATATTATATAAATTACAGCTGGGTGTGTGTCAACTTCTGGTTATTTTTAAAACAATAGCATTTCTTGATGAACAAACCCAGCTTAGCAAGGAGCATATGGTCTATCTACTGTACAGAGGTTTAGAATTATTATGGCTAAGCTCCAGGGCTTAGTCACTGGGGTACAGGCTGTTTACGCTGTGTCGGATGTGTGTTGGCTTTAAACACACAGGCAGAGCTGCACCGGTCTGTTTCCACTTATCAAATCCAGACCTGAGCTTCTCTCAGGCCAATACTCTGAGGAGCTGACCAAATGCTACTGTTTCAGCTGAGAAGAATAGGCCTCAGTGTGGTGAAGCCAATTTTTAGAAGTGCCTGTTGTTGTTCATATCTTAATTTGAAACACTAAATGTTGTCCAGATGGAAAACATAAGCAACCAAAAAAAGTTTTTGCTAGAAAAGTGGAATAGTCGCAACTCCCTGTTGTGCAGGGTTCGGTGTACACATGCTATCTGTTACATCATCACGGCAAATAAAGTTAACCAACCTTAAGTGATTCATTTGCATTAATTTTATGACTTATTATCATAAATTTTGAAAGTTTTATAGATGAGCATTAAACTGAGTCCTATCTGTATCAGATTTATGAACGGAGACAATGAAAACCCAGTGGGGAGCTGTTTTAAACACATTTTTCCACGTTTGCCTCTCGTCGTTCCTTCTTGCTCTTTGGTGCGTGGATGGTGTCAGTGTGTTTGTCAGCAAGTGTGGTGCAGTGTTGTATGGGGGGAGGGGAGCGTAGTTCAAAGTGACCTATGTTTCCTGTCATGTGGTTTTAAATGGTGTGGAGAGTCAGCGGGGGATGTCCACGGGTTAAAGAAACGCTTCCGAAGGCCCCATTTTGATAGATATGGTTACACACAGGCACGCATGCACACACACACACACACACACACACACACACACAAACACATGAAGAAAAAGCACTGGACAACTGTTATTAATACATAAAATGTATATACGTGCATGCAAGCTCACACACATATAATACTTACACATAAGACATCTGATATTAACTTGAAGTAGAGACAGTTGATACTGGTGAATGAATGCACATGTATAGACAGTTATTTTATATATTCCCCTTAGACACACACACACACACACACACACACACACACACACACACACACACACACACACACACACAAAAACACACATATAGGCACACAAACTTACACGCACAGTGGCGGTGGCCCTTTGTGTGCCGTAGGCAGAGCAGCCCAGCCCAGGCTGGTGGCTGACAGGCATGTGTCTTTGTTAAGTCAGTTCCTATAATGGCTCTCATATGTGGCCCATTTCCTTCAGGCCCACAAAGGCACAGGCCCTAACCGCACCGCCCGGGCCCTAGCTAACAGGCTAATTAATGACTGCAAAGCCGCACTCCTCCTCCTCCTCCTCCTTCTCTCTGTTCTTCGTTTCTAACTCCTCTGTCTCCTCCTCTTCTCTCTTTCAGTTCATGCCCCCTGAGTGTTGTTTTCTTTTTGTTTTTACTTTTCAATTTCATCTTGTATTATTTTCTACTGTTTAGTCTGTTTTGTAATTACAGTATGCTGCCCCCTGTTGAAACACCATTAGCCCACTGTTTTTGGTTTTCATGTTGTGACTGATTAAAGTAAAGATATGGTTTTGACCAACATTCATAATCTGAGCAGTGTGTGGCAGCTGAATGCAGTCATTTATATTTAAGAAAAATGTGATGTTTACAATAGTCATGATAGATTAAACATGTCTAAAGTTACTGATAAACCACTTAACACTTTACCTTCCTCTCTTCTGTAAATTTGTTGTTTCACCACTATTAGTCTGAAAAAAAGCTGGAAGCTTTTCTCTTGTCAATAAAGGGCTGACGTGAAAAGTCTGGGTTGCTAAACCTGTGTTAAGACAAACAGGCACCAACACAATAATCACAGACACACATACACACTCACACACATGCATAAGAACTAATGGAGCGGGCAAATGGCCGTTAGATAGACAGGCAGCTCCTACGTCAGCACATACAGCTTCAGACACAATGACTCGGAAAGCCATGGAAGGCCCATAACGTCGATTGGACTCACCAGCTATGGAGAATGGCTAACTCTTGACTTCACAATGGCCCACACTCCAGTGTATTAACCTGTGTGTCAGCCTATAGAAAAATGCCATAAGCATACAGTAATTCTGTGTGCTTCAATTAAACACCTACACCTCTAGGGTCTTTATTGTGCTCCCATGGGTGTAGCAAGATGGAAAGAACAAACAGAGCAATGTTATTATTTGTAGGTATATTATGTTCTTAAAGCTGTATTAAGCAAAGTGTGACCACTAGGGGGCAAAGAGACACGGCAACAAACTAAAAGAACTATGGTATAGCTTAATCGAGTTGCTATGGCTAACATGTTAGCTGTACTTCGACATCTGCAGAAAAATGAGCGACTGCCTTGTAACCATGTCTTAGATGCTTTCTTCGGTAGCTACTTGTTAACTTAATCTCACTGTGGTTTCAAGCTAAGTAGGCAGCATGGTGTGCTTTTTTGAGCTTGTTTGCTGGAAATAGCTGGCTACAGTTTTATATGTGAGAGTAATACTCAACTATACAGTCTAGGCCTATATGCAGGCTGGAGAACCAAAACAATGAGCCAGAAATGGCTAAAGTGGCTAAAACTGCCACTTCAAAGTTGGCTAAGCTTTCAATTCTGCATTTTTTACACTGTACTGAATCTGTGCTAACATCAAATCAAATCATCATATTGCCTAGTGTAAAATTTGTTTATAATACATAGGCTACTGTAGCAGTATGAGAATATCTACAATGTGTTAGAACAAGTGAGTCACTGTGATGTTTCTGTGCTGCAGCGTCTTGTCCTTGCCACTTTTGTAACTGTTATTTCATTTATATAATTAGTGCTTTATTCTCATATATTCAGTTTTTTTTCACTTCATGCTGTAATCTAACAAGTCACAAGATTAACAGATATCTTAGGCCCTGACTTTTTTTTCATTTGACTACACAGGGTAACAAAGCATAATTTATCTGTCTGAATTTCCAGATTGTTACGTCAAGTGATGGACAAAAAATCAAGAGACACACACTATATACCTGCCAGCTGCACAACCAGATGACTATATTTCTTTCTTTCTCTTCTCCCCTTCTCAAACACATCAACATACAGACGCACCTCATACGTACTCATTGCCCCCTAACCCTGCTGCCTGTACACAAGAGGACCATTAATTCTGAGTGTGTGTCTGCGCGTGTACACATGTTCCTTGTGCCTAGGTGTGTATGTCGATGTGTCTGGTGGGCAGTTAGAGGAAGGGGGCCTTGTGTTTTCTTAGGGGCTGAGCAGAACGGGGCCCCAGCAGCACCACCTTTCCCCAGTCCATTCATCCAGCACCCCCCCTCCCCTCGGTAAAAGAAGATCTTTGTGTGTGCGCTAGTGAAGCAGCCCCAGTTAGTCCCAGTGTTCCCAGAGGAATACAATGAATGGGAGCATTTTGTCCCACTCTATAACTTCCACCCCCCCACTTCTTTCTTCTTCTTCTTTTTTTTAAGCCATTCGGACACACAGACTCGTTTTTATTCTCTCTTAATTCCCTTTTCTCCATGTCACAAGACGTCGGACCGCTTGTGTCTGTGTGTGTATGGGAATGCCTCAAAAGTACCCTGAACTTGCAGTGTGTGTGTGTGTGTGTGTGTGTGTGTGTGTGTGTGTGCGTGCTGAGGGCCTCCCAGGCTATCTTGCTTTTTTGGAGTGTGACCTAAACAATATTGTCTGAAGAACTGGTCAAGTGATGAACACATGTAACTGCACGCTTACCGAACAATAATATCTGTGGATAATACAGATGTCTGATGCCCTGTTGTGGCACAGACATGTGCTCGGACACACACAACCTAATTCTAACCTTGACTCTAAAACCGAGTCTTAAGCCTCAAACAGCCCTTTGATGAAGTGTAACCAAACAAATGTCCAAAAATGTCCTAACTAGAAGGTCTAAAACTCTAACTGGTCGTTGTAAAGACATACTCACATACACATACCGTACACACCTCTTTTCTGGTGAGGGCTTTGAGTGGTCTGCGTCATTTGTTTTAGCCACAACTTAATTTAGTCAAATAATGTGATTTCACAAAATATCTCCCCTCAAAGAAATAAAAATTACATCTGTTCTCACAAGCACAGAACATGAGTAGACAAATACAGGACAACTCCTTCAAGCAATTATGTTCTTTTTAAAAATATATACAAGAAAGATGTAGAAACTGGACAATTAAATACATTGTCACTGAGCGTAATTGTGGCATTTTCTGGAAATTGGCCGATATTGAAGTTCTGTTTTGTGAGTGGGTTACACAATACGGTTGCAGTTATTTTCATGATCTATCAGTTATGTTTTAAAAAAATCTAATGCTAAATGCTAAAAGAATAGTGGTAAAAAAATTCCAAGATACCAAAGCAATATCTAACCCCAAGATATTTTCTTGCTAAACGCTCTACACTATTAATTGATTATCACATTTGTTGATACATTTTCTGTTGATCTTTATATAGATCGACTAATCTTTCCAGCTCTTCAGCAAACACACGCAAGTCAACATCTCTCTCCCTCTATTTAGTCATGCTCTTTGAACCCCCCCACCCACGCCCACACACGCCATAAACATCACAGAGGACGGTCATCTAATTCAACAACGTAACCCTGCAGCACAAATGCAAATAAATACTGTAACCACACAACATGCTGATTGTGTAAATTTGGGCTCTAATGATGAACTGTCCCAGGAGGACAGTGGGAGTGGTCAGTGTGGTTAATGAATTGGTAGTAAAGGAGATGAATGGACGTAGTTGGCATTGACCGGAGGAGGGAGGGGAAATGGAGAGAGAAAGAGAGGTGTCAAGTGTTCATCTTAAAGAGTAACACTAAAGAAAACGCAAAAACAGAGGGAGAGATGGGAAATAGAGGAGAGAGCAAAACGGTTAAAGAGAAGATGTGAAATGAGAAATGTTGAAACAGAAATAAGAAATAGATAGACAAAGATAATTTAAGATGAGTAATATTTTGCGAAGCTGAGAGGGTGATTGAAAATTGAGAAAATACAGAGGAGGAAGAGAGAGGATGAACTTTAATTAGTCTAAAAAATGATGGATGTTCAGAGTGATGAGAGACTGATGAGAGGAACAATAATAATATTTATTTATAGATCACTTTTAAAACCAATGTTATAAAGTGCTTCACAAAAACACAAGTTATAAAATTGTCAATTGAAACCAAGAAAAGCAGATTAGGAAGTAAAAAATACTTCTGAAAATTTTTTTTAGGCAAATAAAAAATAAAATGCTACAGAATGATGGAAAATGGGAGAAAAGAGGTGGAGGAAGTCAGACATTTGCGATCCCTTTTAAACATTTAATTAAATGATAGAATTTGATACAGTGTTCTATATAACTAATTAGAAAATGTTTGTTTGTAAAGAAATTGAGATAAAGCAAATTACAACATGAATGCATTTTAGAGCAAAAGAAGCAAAAAAATACAAAATGTCATTATTTATTTCTGCGAGAAATATGTCTGACAAGCTAAGTAATCCAAATACTGACCTATTCTTACTTTTCACATGGTTAAAAAGCGTCCTCTGTTCATCCTAAATAAAAGAAGTACAGCTTATTTGAATTTCATTTTTTTAATGATGTTTGAATATCTGGAAAATCTGCCCAACTTCCAGACAGGAACCTAATGAGTGAGAACAGAGAAAAAGTGAGCAATGAAACCAAGAAGGACAGACAGGGAGAAAGACAAGAATGAGAAGAAAGAAAGAAAGAAAGAGACGAACAATTTTATAAGACATAGAAAGGGTGAGATAAAGGGAGAGATGGAAGGGAAGAGAGTGAGACAGTCAGTGGTTAAATACAACCAGCCTTAATAGATTCCCGCAGGCTCATCTTTGATATGCTCTCCTCAGTTCAAGCCCTCAGTCCCTTAACTCAGTCGAACCCACAGTTTTTAAGAGTCTTTCAAGCCGACATGAAAGGCAGCTGTTATTTCTCCTTGTTGTTGTAAAGGCATTTTGTTAAAACTTTTACACTTCTTGTCTCTCAAGAAACTACATCTTTATTTGTTGTTTGTTCTCTGTTGAATGAATCTCACCCGACTAATCATTTCATTTTTGTGTGTTTGTTTTGTTCTTTTTACTGTGTATGAACCGTGTTGTCAGCTGTATTTCAGAATCTCTTTTCTTTTAACTTTTCCTCTTCACGTTTATTTGCTATTTTCCCTTTTTAATATTTTTTTCTTTTCTCTTTTCTTATTTCTGTCATTCTTCCTTTTCACTTTATGATTTTTTAAAAAGTATTTTGCCTTCTTTCTTCCTCCATCTTTTCTTTTTTGTCCTTCCATTTTTCTGATTGGCATTTTCCATTTGTTTTCCGATTTTTTTTCACCTTTCTTTTTTGTATCTCTTCTTTGTTGTTCCTGGTGCTTTTGCATGTGTGTGTGTGTGTGTGTGTGTGTGTGTTGTTGTGTGTATATTAAGGCGCTTTTAGTAACCTTGTCCTATTCATATGACATATTTCATGTAAGGACTTTAAACAACTCCCTCCACTCTCTTTCTCCCTCACTCTCTCTCTTCCTGTCCCTGTCAATGTCTCTCTCTCTACCTCTCTCTCTTAGGTTCAGGGTCACATGCCTCCTCTGATGATCCCAGTGTTTCCTCACGACCAGCGGTCTCTGGCTGCTGCGGCTGCTGCACAGCAAGGCTTCCTCTTCCCACCGGGCATGTCCTACAAGCCAGGTATACAAACACATACCCACACACACGCGTATTGGACAATTTCCCAAGACAGACAACACACTGATGAGTGTTAAGGAAATATATGTTTTCTGAATAAACATTCACCCCCCCCCTCAAACAAAAGCCCTATGACTCTGACAGTTCTCGTTAACTAAAACAGAAACTCAGCGGGTCTCTGTTGCCCTCTTTCCACACACACACACACACACACACACACACACACACACACACACACACACACACACATGCATGCACACAAACACTGGGATCCCAGTCTATGTTAATGAGGTGTGTCAGGTGAGGAATGTTCTGGAAATGAGCAAGGAGATTTACAAGCCCTGCTTGTTCACGTCAGGAACAATACATTGGACACAGCAAGAACTGGAATGTCTCTTTTATGGCGTGCTGAAAGCATGTCAGTTGCACAACACATCTGCAACATGGAATTTCACACTTTCTCACACACAGACAGTCACACACACACACACACACACACACACACACACACACACACACACTCACTCAAGCATGTTCTCCTTGTACACACTGACCAAAAAATGTAAAGATAGCGCAGACAGACAAACTCAAAGAATGCAAAGAATTGCATGCATATTGCATGTTTAAGCAATCCATAAGGATTGGTCCCAAACTGACACAACAAAACGCTTGAAGACATACAAGAATAAACAGTAAACAGTCTTCTCATTGCAGGATTCGCGGCACCACCTGCTTTCTTCCTCTCACTTCGTCCTTCACACATTCCTTTCTACCATGCATTCCTCCAGGTGCTCGCCTGACGCCACGCTCCACTGACCCTCCATACTTCATAAAATAATCCATGTTTATTCCTACTGCATGAACATACACTCCCACAAGACTGCATAGAGAGGCAGAAATGAAGAAAGGGATTAAAAAGCCATTATTCTACACTCTCCTTTGACTTTGGTGTGTTTTCAACAAAGGCTCGGACATGGAAAGCCTTTTAGGCACAAACAGTAGGGGTTATACACGGTACTCGTATATGAATTTATGAGTGCATCCCAATGAGGGAGAGCTGGACTTTAACTTTGCTCGCCCTGGTCTCAAGCACCCATGTGTACCGACAATGAGTGTTATTAAAGCACTTGTGACCCTTTATGTTTGGATGGCCATGAATAAAAACATGAAAGCGAGAGAGGAACAAGGAAGGAGACAAAAGGCTAGACAGAGAGAAAGAGACAGACAGAGGCTGGCTGAAGGTAAAGAGCAGGTTAGCGCTTGTGCCCCCACCTCTCTATACAATATGTGTTGTTTTGGTTTTTCAACAGGTGAGAATTACCCCATGCAGTTCATTCCATCTACAATGGCAGCTGCAGCAGCGTCTGGACTCAGCCCGTTACAACTACAGGTAAGACGAAAAACACCTGTTTTCCCGAAATTTCAGCAAAATTACCACAATAACCAAAACTGTCTGCATGGCTCCCACTAAAGGAGTCAGAAAGAGTTATATGTAATTGGGGTGAACTAACCTTTAAAATGAAAAGGGTGACTAATGCCAAACGATGATACGGTGGAAACAGTAAGCAGTATTGTTCCACAATGAAGTGTGTGAGATGCTTCAGTTTCACCTGGCTTCACTTCTCAACTCATAAATAAGTTGCACCCAGGAAATATGAGTTTTCTTGGTTTCTTTTTACATTTAGCCATTAGGATGTAAACCTCAAATTTATTTTGTTGTGTCAGGCATGAGTCCTTCCTAAACCAAAATTGTTTTACTTCCTTAAACCTAAACCAAAGAAAATGTTTTTTCCAACTTATTCTATCATTATCCTTTATCCTTTATTGTCCCGTGGCGTTGTAAAAAAGAGGTTACATAAATTTAGAGTTGGAGAGTGTGTCAGAGTAAAGGCCAGCAAAGTAATCTAATGAAGTGCCTCTTCAATATCTATGATGATAACTCAAGTGAGTGTTTCACAACCATATAAACAACTGTAGTAGAAAAGAAGTTTCAGAACAGCAGCACGAACAAAGACACATCTATAAGGGTGGAGGTCTGTAAACTGAGAAAGTACATATGGATCTAATCCTGAGGGTGTAACCAGAAAGCCAGACAAAAAAGACAATTGTACAAAATGAGTCGATAAATAGAAACGACAGTCAAGATAAGGAGGTGTGGCAAACTAAACGAAACTCCTACTTGTTCTAACCTTGCCCTGAGTTCAAGTAGGCAAAAAAACCTGTAACATTTTCATAAAATAAAACGCTTTTTAATGCTTCCTATCCATTGCTGACTCAAACAACACAATAGGGATTCCATCTATACCTGGAGAATGAAACCTTTTATATTTATATGAGATCTAGAAGCCAAGGCTATTATTAAACCTGCAGAGTGTCTTTGAGATTTTATCTAGGAAAGAACCACTGGCAACACTTGCAATAAAAAAAGAAGAACCAACTATTTAGCATGAGAAGTGATAATCATCATGACTGCACTGTTAAAAATGCTAGTGCCACCAACAGAAGGTTACACTGTGATTATCAAAAATACCACCAAGATAAAAAATAAAGTTTTGCCTGCTACCATCATCATTTCCAGACGTTCTTTGTACAACTAACCAATATTCTCAGCTGCCCTGTGTTGCAGTATGTCTTCTTAAATACCTTAAAAAACATCTACAAGAGCAAAATGATGGTTTTTGAAGGAGTGGGAAATACAAATCAAAGCTGGAGGAGGCCTAGCATGCATTCATTAGTTCAGCCTTATTTGTTAGCAAATTTGAATGGAGTTAACTTTTTTCAATAAAACAACATGACGCATTGGTTAAAGACGAAGCTCTATATGCCAACGCTAACATGCTAGCCCGCTTATCTGGTGCCTGTCAGCTGTGTCAGACAAAAGCTGTTATGATGAATCACAGAGGAATTCCGCCCCACCAGCACAACACCTGGCCCAGGCAATTCATCAAATATTTTATTGCTGCTTGACACCTGTGGTTTGAGAATAGCACTTATCCATAATGGTTATCATAGAACATATTTGCAAAGAAAAAAAAGTGAAACAAAAACAAAAAAAAAAGAAAAGAAAAATGAAATCACTACTCCCTGAAGGCGGTTTGGAATTTCACAACACGACCCCGTCACCCCTCCTGCTGTACCTACAATCAGTGGTAAGAACAAAAGCCCTCAAAAGCTTTTTCACTGGCAAACAATATTGCTTCATCATGTCAGTCATTACCATAGCATGGCTTTTGGATGATACAAGAATCCTTATCTCTTATTCAATTTGAATTGTGGTTTTCGCTTATCGAGGCCCTCATTAGCGGCTATTGACTTAGCAAAGCGCCGTGCTGTGCTGAGGGGATCGGAGCCTCGGTGCAGCTTATCTCCCCTCCTAGCTTTGAAATGATCAAAAGAGTCTCTTACCTCTCACTCTTGTGAGAGGTAAGAGGATGAATGATGTCGGAGATGCAAACTCATTCACATTTAAACACTGCCTGAGACGTGGAGAATTAGAGGCAGAGAGGAACCTGAATGAAAGAGGAAGCTTCGCATCATGGCATTGGCTGAAATCAAGTAGGAGACTGGGAAAGGGAGGAAGACAGGGAGCGTGGGGAAGTGTTTATGAGAGAAAAAAAATGCATGATTATCTGAGGAATTTTTGTGAGATGGAGGCGCTGGCTTCCAGCACATGTTTGGACATTGTTTTGACAACAATGCCTACGCCAAAAGCAATCATGAGGATATTTATGAGTTGTACTAGTTATGTATCTTCATCTCAAAAATGTGCCAGTAGCACTCCTCGCACTCTATGGTACAGTAGCGTTTGCAGCACTGAAAAAAAATAACTTTACAGAGTCTAGATAGGAAGGGCATAATAAAAACACCTGCATAGTGTGCTGCTATCCAGTCTTACAGCCTTAAAATAAATGCTTACTTTGTGAAGTTGATATGGTTCAGCTTCTTGAAGTGAATCGACACTTCACCTTCACCCCTGTATGTATCATAGGTTGCATCTTGTATGTGAGCTGCTTGTTTGAGTGTTGAGAGTTTGACAACTACAGGGTTTCCTTCAGGAAAGTTGTTTTTAAGCCACTTGCCTTTATTTTTCCCAACTTTTCTGTTTTTCTCAGCATTGTGAAATACTGGTTTGAATAATTACTGTACAGCTAACATGATGTGAGCCATCAATGACAGCTGAGTTGAGTCTGACCTATCCTAACAGATCCTAACAGATCTTGTCTCATGATCTATTGAATTACTGTATAGTTGTCTCAGCAATTACAGACATGGCCATTGCTGTGTGGTGTAGCACACCGGCTTGATTATTATAGTTTAATCACTTCTCCTGATGTTAATGGGGGTCTTTATTTCAGGTTAGTGAGCTACAAATTTCTGCAGGAAACCCTGAACTAACGTGATTCTGATGTAACAGATTTACAAAAAAACTGATGAGTAGAACAGAACCACTTTATTTCTCTACATCCTGCACTATCTTAAGCCCTTTGGCCTGCATGTAGCCATTGCGGTTACGCTGTAGTGCCAGAGTGGCTCTTCCTCTCTTTCTCAGTTCTGGCTCTGCTTTCTTTATGGGCTCTGCCTTTGGGAGGTGAGGGACAACGACAGCATTGAAAAGCTGTTTTCTCACAATTATTGTGAATGGATGTTTTCTACCCAGTCTTGCTAACATACTTCCACTAACTTCTTGTTTTTTACTCATCCCTTATTTATCATGCATGAAGACTATCTCCGGTCTTTGCCTTTGGCCTTGACCCTTTGACTCTGTGCTGTTTGTTGTTTGTCATGTTTGGTGATGTGTGAACTGAGGCCAGATGCACTGTTGCACTCATTAAAAATAAAAGAAAAATGGATCAGAGGGTGAAGGTGAGGTAAATATGTGGTTTAAATTATGTAGTTTAAAAAAATCATAAGTCATTAATCATCATTCGTAATCAATAGAAAGTGTTGTGTCAGTCAGTTGGGATTTAAAAAAGCCAATACTGTAAAGGAATAATATCTTGACGTGGCAGGCCAGTGCACACATTGTGACCTGTTTTTAAGTGTTCTTTAGTTATTAGTCTCAGTTACACTTCACTCCACAATGGCCTTAACTCCAGTGTGTGAAACTGTGCATTACCCTATAAAAAATCATTGTAAATACACAATTACACCATGTTAGTTCTACGTTAGCAATCTCTTCTGCTACATACTGTAGTCAAGTACACACCAGCTGGCATCAAACCACTTTAATTCCAGATCTGTGCTCAGTACAAGATGGGCAGATGTTGTAGCAAGCTCCTCCAGATGTTTCGTAGTTCTGCCCTGTAGCGCGCCTTCAGACAGCTGGCTGGCACTGATGGTCAAGCGAGCATACTGGCATAAAGACAGGCCTTATTCTCAGACAGTGAAAATAAACCTGCGCAAGCAACAAGAACAAGCCGTTCCTCCAAATCGTTGGACAAGACAATAAAGGTGGAGAAAGTAACAGCAATAATAAATAATTTCCTTCTTCATCAATCGAAAAAACCTATCAAATCAAAAGCAGGATAACAAAAATACTTGGCAAAAGCTTTCCTATTGTGCTTGACTCATCATGACCTGACCTAACAATTTTGACAGCACAAATGTTGTGCTATCGGCGTGGGAACTGGATTGGGCCAATTGTTTCCAGAGCCTTGGAGTAGACCCCTTCACAAACAGTGGATTCTTGCTGAATAAAGGCTTCCTTTGTCGCTACTAATGCGAGTGAAATACAGTTGCTTAGCGGACATTCTTGCTGAAATCATAAGACATTTCTCGCTGTCTGTCTCGATGTTCTGCCTATTTCTGTTTCAGTGTCTGAGGCATTGAGACGATGATAAGGAACCAACTTTTGTGCACCAGAGTCATAATTTCTGCCCTGTTGCCAACATACAGTGATTAAGCCAGAATGACTTTCTTTGTCATAAAATGATTATAAGGCAATCAGATGTGTCTTGAAAAAAACTAAGCATTTGTTCTGTAAAAGAAAAGAAAACTGGAAGTGAGATAATGGTTTTCTTTATGCAGCATGTCTCTCTGTGTATCTCTTTGACTATCTTGGACACAACAAACCCTCCCAGTACAATATTTAGCCTCCGTCCTCTGTGTGGGCCAGCTCAGTGGCAGTCGATCCATTTCACTCTTCCTCCTCCTCCCCTTGCAAACCTGCTGAAAAAGACAAAACCTCATTTGTTTTGTGTACTCCTGAGATCGATAGCAGCTTGACACTAAAAGAGGCCAGCTAAAGGGATTCTCCACTCAGTCCTAATGGGACAGGCTTGTCTGAGACTGGAGTAGGCTGTTGGCAGGCTACAGTATAGCAGTTCAAACAGTGCTGCCCACACCCAGACCACACCAACATCACCTTCTCTCTGCTTAACGGTTACACCAAAGTAGGCCATTGCTATAAAAGAAAACCTGCTGATGTTCAGGAGGGTCAAAAATGACAGACTAATCATTTGGATTTTAGTCAAATTAGCACTAATGTCCAAAGGCCAGTCAGATATCTGGACAGCTATGGCGTGGTCCGAGGCCCCTTTGTCAATTTGTAATTTAGGAAATTGCGGCATTGTCTTCCCTTGGGGGTTGACTGAATGACGAGAGCTCTAGTTGGGGTTGTTAACGCTGCACATTGGCCTCCCCAGTCACCAATCAATCTCACAGTGTCTTCGAGAAACAGAGAAAAAATAAGGTAAGAGCTCTTATGCTCGGCCTTTTGTCTGTTCAACATTTCTCTCTTCTTATTTTTAATTGCTGACAGAATCGCTGTTAACAGCACAATAGCAGTGGGTGTGTTTGCACACAAGCAGAGGCGGGTGTAAGATCCTAACTGTGTGTTTTACCTCAAAGAATTGTGTGTCTGCTCCCCTTAGAGCTGTAAGAATATCAGGCATCACCAGAAGTAACTCTGTGGTCGGCTTGATTGACGCGAGAGGCCTCACCACCAGTCATACAAGGCACATTCTTACCGGGATCTTATATCGCCAGGGGTTGGCCTGAGCACTCCTGGTGCCTTCCAAGGAAAATAAGCGGCGTGACATCAGGGCTTTGTTTCAATGGCGAGGCCCCTTCTGTTTGTGTTTAATATCGCTCCGAGAGAAGTGGAAAGCGGGCCAGCCAATTTCTCTGGCCCTAACTGCTGAGCCTGGAGCGTCAGCAGTGAAGCGACGGTGGTCTCGTGTGTCAGCGGCGCAACACTCTCTATCCTCCTCTCTCTCTTTCTCTATGGCTCCCTCTTTGCTTTAGGATCTCTGGTCCCAGGAGGCTTTGCAGTTTTGACTACAGGGAAATCAGATCTCACAACACTGGGGGCCGTTTAGGCTGAGGGGGGAGAGAGCAGAGTCAGAGAACGAAAGAAACAGAGATGGAGAAGGGGGAGAAGATATGAAGAGGGTTTCTGGAACAAAACTGAGAGATAGAGGGAAAAGGGAGGGAGCCAGGGGAGATAAAAAGAGAGGAGGACAAAAATAAGACAGAAAGAGGGGGAAAGTAAAGATGAGGTGAAAGAAACGAAAAATGAGAGGAAAGCAGGAAAGCAGGAAAGAAAGAACGAGAGGAGGGAGTCTTAAGTGAAGGCCAGCCACGTCTGGGTGGTTTTCCTGAGGACAGGCTCTTTGATACTCCAGCACTCACACTCCAATGCATTTAGACAGGGGTTGACAGTGGTTACAGGCAGCGGTTTGTCTGGCCGGCTAACTTTGATTTAGAAGACCCTGGACTGTGGGCCGAGTATTTGACTCTTTGATTTTTGTTGGATGGAAAATCGGTACAGGTTTTTTTGCAACATTTAAAGTTTTTTCATCCAACCCTGAAGGCAGATGGCATATACTTTCCAAGTCCTTTTTTTTATTATTATTTTTTACAATATTTTGTAAGTGTTTTTCAATTGACTCATGCCCAAGGTGTAATTGCAGTATGACTATACCTACTTAAACATGATTGTCCACTATTGTCTTTGAGATTAATGTAGGAAACTCAATTGTCTGAACTGTTAATGCAAGGACTTAACCATATGTGACAAGATTAGTCTCAAGTGTTTTTGAGAATCATAAAGTATTGTCTGCAATCCTAATTTTATTTTATTTTATTTGACGGTTGCAATTTGAAATTACAGCTCCGCTTGCAAGCCAAGATTTTAAAAAGGTTAAATAGTCAGGATAACGAAAACAGCCATGGGGCTTATTTTCATTGTGGTTCACATTGTTTTTTGATATATAAAGAAAACCAGCCTTTTATTGTTAGCTATACTGGGCCAAGCATTGTCTAAAAATCTAATTTCCATACTCTCATGGTTATGCAGAACCAAGTATTAGGTATCCAATTTTGTAGATAGTCAGATAGTAAAAACTTAAGGACGATTCAAGCAAAGCATTTAAAAGTTTCTTTAGCTATTGTCTGGATTTATTTCTAGTTGCAAATCGATATACAAGCTGCTTCCAGCATCTGTTGAAAGAATAAGTGTCAGAGATGGATTGTAGATAATTTAAAATAAAAATGTTTTGCTGGATTGCCTCCCTGATAAATACTCTCCCCCTCAAACAAATTTTCCGTTTGTGTGAGACAGTCCTGTCAACCTTAGATCTAGGTGTGTGCGTGTGTACACGCACATTTGCTTCCACATGAGTTCTGTGTTTGTTTGGCTCAAATACACACCCATCAAACCTCAGAAGATGTAAGCAGCGCCAGGAGAGAGGATACAGCAAAAAAAGGAAAAAAAAAAACACAACAGGATCAAGGGTGTGGGGGGGCACAGAAGAAGAGAAGAGAGAGAATGAAAGAGGAAAGCCACTGACTAGCTGCTGGCAAGCAATGTTAATAAGTTTTGCTGGTTTCTTCCCTTTTTGCAGCAGCTGTATGCCGCCCAGCTGGCAAGCATGCAGATCTCACCAGGAGCCAAGATGACTCCCCTCCCGCAGGCTCCCAATCCCTCCAGTCCCCTTTCCCCCTCTGCCCTGAAGAGCGAGAAGCGAGCATCCAGTCCTATCGTTCATATTAAGGTGAGTCCAAATTTTGTGAAATGGTTTATGTGGACTGGCAGAGTTGTTTAAATGATTCAACAGAAGTTACAAGAGCCATTTGTGATTGATAATATTGCAACTCAGGAGATGGGTTAATGAACCAACAACCAGTAGGCAAAGACAACAGCACCATGGTGAAAAGGTGACTACTCAGTACAACAAATCTAATAAGACAAAGGAAAGAGTGAGTTCACAATATGTATGATAGGAAAACAACAATGACGATGATAAACTCAAGTAAAAGTGGGAGGCTGGAAATTTGGAAGTTGTTGAAACAATGATCTGCGCGTGGGCCTGTGCTCTTCACCGTCAATTAGAAACAGCTTATTTAAAAGTCACACACCGACACACACACACACACACACACACACTCACAAACTGACACTGGCGCTGGCTGCTGTTTGGCAGGAGCCCAGACCCCTTCACTGGAGAGAGCGCACGCCTCATCTTTACTCGACGACGAGGCAGTAATGGAAGCCATGTGTGTGTGGGGCACAGCTGCAACCGGCGTCACAATAGACCGGCGTCAGAGCTCACCGCACTCAAACAGTAGTGCTGTGCCCTGCAAACTCCCCACCCTCCGCTAACCCCCACACACGCTTAGCCCACCCCTCACTTTAGCATGCCACCCGCAGCCTAACCCCCCCCCCCAGCCTTTCCCCACCAAGCACGTCTAAAAACTCTTTTCCTTCTCAACACATCCCTCAGTTCCAAATTAGATCAACGTTCATTAAGGGTTTGCTGCCAACACAAGAGTCAGGCTGTGTTGACGTGCAGAGTTTTATTCTTGTCTCAACTTTTCCTTTTCCACGGATTCCCTATGTGGATCACTGCGGCCATGAACCTTTGATTAGAAATAGTGTCTTAACCCTGCATTCTTTCTAATGGCCAGCAGGGGTCAGCTCCATGGACTGCAATAAAGATGTCCGATAGTATTGAGTCTGATGGAGAAATGACCCTACTTCTACATTGATTTATTAGCTCAGTAAACAATTTCTTAATGAGTTTCTTTATGGTCTCAATCACCATACAGCATGATGTTCATTAGTAAATTATGGTCCCATTTAGAGTAAAATAGACAATAAAGCAGGTTATTCTTTAGGGTGTGGTTAGCTAGGGATTGACAATTCATTCTCAGTGAGTGCATCCAGGGGTTAGGGTTAGCACCCACATGACACTCAAGATTAACCTGTCAACCTAATTAGAGAGGGGAATTAGAATTAGAAACAAAAACAGAATTCCATAGCACAATGTTTGGTAATAAATGTGTAATACGTGTAAGTAGAATTTTGATTTTTTTAAGAATTTGCAAACAGTCTTGGTTCATCACCACCACTTGCAATGGCAATCAGTGGAAAAGTGTGAAAACCACTGGCCGACCTGTGTATCACCCACCCATGTGCATTCATATCTGTGCACATATGCTTCATGGTGCTACTAGGGGTCAAAAACTCCACATGGTTTAAACAATAATTAGGGACACTGAATTATTAAGCAGGACCATGTACTAATGCCACACAGACACATCACTTGTTAACATGGCTTTATTCAGTTACATTCTGAAACAATCAATTAAACACTGTTGTGCCTGTTCTACTAACAGGAGGAAGGATCCACACAGCCATTGAACCTCTCAGCTAGACCCAAGACAGCCGAGCCTCTACGCTCCCCAACATCTCCGACACAGGGTCTGTTCTCTGGAAACAAGACCAGCCCTTCAGGCATGGGCAAGGGCCGCATCCCAAGCCCCATCCCCACCATGGGCAGGAACACCTCTCTGGGTAGGTAACAAACACATACATGCACTTACACTTCCTTATGTTTGTCCACTGGGTAGACAGGATGGGCCACCGCAGTAGCACTGCAAGTCTGCCTAAAGGGAGTACCCTAGCAATGGCTTTTCTGATATGTTCTATGAAAATCACATGGTCTAAATGCTGCTTCTGCACGCCAAGGGGGAAACACTGACGCACTCTACACATACATGCTCTCTCACACACAAACAAAAATACACCACCGTATTGTTCACATCTGCACTGTACATCCATCCAGAGCAAACACGTCCACACTCCAGTGTAAAACTGTGCCTTCCCCTCAACCGGAAAAACAAAAACATCACCCACCCAAACACCACCCTTTTCCACGCCACACACAGACAAACTAGGCAGCGTTGCATGCGTCTGATAGACTGCAGACACCTCAACCCCACGAGGAGACCTGTGTGTGTGTATTTGTGTGTGTGTGTGTGTGTGTGTGTGTTTTACAGGAGTCCAAAGCCCTGTATTTAGCCCCAATGAAAACCCCGGCAGCGGAAGCAGTGAAACCCAGCACACGTTATTTGGTTTTTAAGAGCTTCCTCACATCATTGTCTGCCCGCGCTAGACCTTTTATGCCCCTACCTCTGCTATCTGTTATTAAGGCCAATCTAAACCCTCTCATTATATCCCCCCAGAAAACAATTTCGCCAGCTCCTCTGGAGTGGCTTTGAGGACGCGTCGCTTCTGCTCCCTGCAAAGTTATTTTTTGCCCATTTTAACGGCCACCCAAGCATACAGTGCTTCCTACTTGTCTGCTAATTAAACGAGGAGGGCGACGGAAACTTTGCATCCTTTTATTTTTTATTTTTTCTTATTCCTCAAATGTGCATCGGCTTCAAAAGTGTGAAGCACTGCACATAAACAAGGGGGAGGAGGTTCTGACATGTTTACACACAAGTGGACTGGAAAACAACTGCAGCAACATTTGGCCCTGATTGGAAGATTGGAAAAATTGGATCTTTTTATACAGATGTTTAAATAGTATTTCGTAGCAATTTGTATGCAGCCATTCTTCCCAGTGTAATGAAATCACACACACACACACACACACACACACACTTCAAATTGGGTTCTTTGGGTGTTACAATTGTGGTTCACCAGCCTCTGACTTGACAAACTGAAAAATAAAGAATATGAGTATTTAGATACCAGTTGCTATGCAGATGAACTCTTTGCAGATTTAGAGCATTAAAGCATAGTTCCTTTTTATAATAACCTATTTTCATTATTATTTTTGTTTTTATTGCTCTGTCTTCTTCAAGTTCTCACTAAGTGGGTTTGTTGGGAAGATGTGATTCAGAACCATTCAGAACTTGTGATGACAGTCCCATCTACATTGTCTTTTTTTATCTGTTTCTTATTTCTTGCTGGGTTTTTTTTTCGTGTGTTGTACGGTGTCCTCGAGTGCCCAGAGAGGCGCCTCTAATAATTTAATGTATTATTATTATTATTATAAGGTTGTTGTTCATGTTGCTAGGCTACTGTCAGTCAAATCTGAACAAACCAACTCTTAGCTTTGCTTTCCCATCCCACCAGTCAAAGTGATGAACAGCTGTCCCACTGTCCTATCCTGTCCTTCCCTACCAGACATCCTGTCCAGCCTCAACTCCACGGCACTCTTTGGGGACCAGGATGCGGTGATGAAGGCCATCCAAGAGGCCAGGAGCATGAGGGAGCAGATCCAGAGGGAGCAGCTCCACCAGCAGCAGCAGCAGCAGCCAGGGCACCAGAGTCTGGAGGCCAAACTGTCCGCCCTCAGCAGCATGAGCCTCAACAACGGCAACAAGGTTAGAGGGACAGAGATCACATGAGGCTATACATAGGAAGCTGCACAGACACACTGACACACTTTGCTGATAAGGTCTATAAGAATCACATGGTCTAAATGCAGTTTTCAAAGGAAGAAATAATTCTGATCGAAACACTGATGCACACACCCACATGAACTTCACAAATGTAATGACGTACACAATGTACAGTGCTTGTGAAACACATCAACAGGCAGTGGGGGAAAGTGACATGTGCCCACTTTTTTTAAGGTTCAATTTCAAGGTACTAGCAAGCTTTCATTTTATGCTACTTTTACCTTTCTCTCCACTATTTGTCAGTTACTTTCCAGATTAAGATTTTATATTCAAACCATATGATCAGTTGATTTTAACCAAAGATGCATATTAAGGATTAAAGCACTCAACAGTGTATTAAAAATGACCAGGTAAAAATGTAAAATTCAGTTTACATGTTAATGAATCAGTAATAGTAATACTGACACACATACTAAGTATATTTACCTTTCATATCTAAATATTGCTGATACTAATTTTGTACTCAGCAAGACTAATTGCCTTGCTCCAAGAGTGTGCACTTTTATTGACCAGCTTTTAAGGGAAGCTGTGTCTCCAAGAATATAACAAAATATCATAGAAAATAATTATACAAGCATTTACAGAATACAGTCACAAGAAAGCCTGCACGGTAAGTACAAAAACTATATGGCTCTGCCACATTACATAGCCTCCGTATTCTGATTTTATTATATTATTATGAATTTCAAAAGCCCTTTTACATTTCCTAAAGGATATGACCCCTCTTGGTCCCATATATTCAAGTAACTATTTGGAAGTACAATAAAGGCAAGTTTGAATGGAGAATTTTTACTTATTGTGGAGAATTTTTTACATTCATTACTTCCCCTTCATAAAAGATGTAAACAAATCTTCTAAAAATGTGGTAAGGAGAGGATCTATTTTGCATTGATATACAGCATTCAGATCCATGTAATATTTTCTCTAATTCACACACACACACACACACACACATACACACATACACACACACATACACACACACACACACACACACACACACACACACACACACAGATAGATCTCCAACCTCCTTGCACTTGTGTTACATTTTCTCCAGTATTTCATTGGCCGAGTGTTCAAGGTTTCTGTTCAGCTCATGCATGAGTCTGAAGAATATTCATGGATGATATTTGGTGTTGTTTGGCTCGAGCTGCAGCTCTTGAGGACTTCTCTTTTCTCCTCTCATCTCCACGGCCACCCAGAAGCCAACAGCTTTGAAGAGGGAGCAGCTGGGCCAATGACAAGTGATGGTTTTGGCGTGTGAGTGTGTGTGTGTGTGTGTGTGTGTGTGTGTGTGTGTGTGTGTGTGTGTGTGTGTGTGTGTGTGTGTGTGCGTACTTGTGTGCCTGCCTTGACTGAGACTGAGTGGGTGTTTTTTTGGAGAAGAGATGGTGTCAACATTAGTGTGTGTGTGTGTGTGTGTGTGTGTGTGTGTGTGTGTGTGTGTGTGTGTGTGTGTGTGTGTGTGTGTATGTGTGTGTATAATGGAGTCCAGCTCTCCACTTGCCCTGGAGGGGGGATCCCGGCCTTGGGGTTTTGGCCCAATTAAAGGGCCTTTCTCAGGAAAGGGACCTCCCCCCTCCATGCTCACCTCTTCCCCCGCTCATCTCTCCCCTTTGGGCTGAAGGAGACAGGGCCTTTGTACCAGGATCTTATATCCGGAGGGAAATCCATATTCCAAAACATCTTCAATCAGTCTGATCAACCAATCACAGATTCCAGGGATCAGACATTCAGTAAAATAGGGAACATGATTAGACCAGCTCTCCTGCAATTGATCCCACGTTGCTCGCAAGGATGAGGAGAAGGAGGAGGAGAGGAACTCATGAATATTTTAGGGGTGGAGACTTTGAACCCACCAACCCCAACTAGGTCATGATTGGTGCACTCCAAGGATAGGCTGTTTTGAATTTTCTGGACTTGTTTGCCTTGCATCTTCAGGAGGAAAACATCCAAAATCTGGCAAAATATATCTCTGCTATACTTTCGCTCAGTCCCGAGTTGATTTTTTTATAAGTCATTATACTAGTAAACACTGAGAAACTCATAAATATAAATTATACAACAGCCTATACTAATAAATTGTTTATTAAGATTTAATGAGAGTTGTCTGCTGCAGGTCTGGCAAAAACTCCCACCAATGATCCCAAATAAGTTTGTGCTTAAAAGAGCTTTTTGCACAAAGTTAACTTTGAAATGATGACACATTAAGGTGAGTGCATTGCAGCGAGGGCCCTACATGCCTCTCAAGCGCTATATTTTCCAACTTTATAAGAACAAAACCAAAGCAATGCAGTAATTTGGTTTATAGCTCCATGCCTCCTAATAAAAAGCTCATTTGGAAAGTCTCAAAGTAATTGTTTCCGGTTCGAGGACGACAGCAGGCCTTGGTATTTGTTGTCAGTTTGTTATTCGTTACCTAACAACAGCAGCTCAAAGACTCTTTCTCTTAGCTTTAAATACATATTTTTTTCTTTGGGACTAAGAAGTTTTTTGTGTGTGTGTGTGTTTTTTTTTTTTTTTTTTTTACAAAGCGCTCAAAGGCTTTGCTCTGTCTTAAACAATTCATGGATGGAACTTGCTGGATACTGAGAGTGTGACTCACCCGCTCCACCTCGGGAGGCAATGAGACCAGCTCTTTTTCTTTACCTTGGATTTGTGTGTTGTTTTCTGTCCGTCGAATAAATTTGTTACTCAAATCCTCCCACTTAAATCTTTGAGGCTCTGCCCAAGCCTTTTTGTTTTATGACATTGTACTAACGCAGGACATTAGGCATCTTTGGAGGGAATGAGACAACTGCTGTAAATGGTATCACAGTGTAATATTGAATGTTGAGCTATTTATTGCCCACGCTGATGCGACTCAAAGGGAGCCATCACGGTGACGTCTGTGTGTGTGTGTGTGTGTGTGTGTGTGTGTGTGTTTGTGTTTATTTCTCTTTCTGTTTGTGTATTTTTGTCCCGTAGCATTCATTTCAAGCATAGACGACATAGACATTTCTCTAAGTGCTGAAACTGATCCTAAGCTTCTTTGTGTGTGTGTGTGTGTGTGTGTGTGTGTGTGTGTGTGTGTGTGTGTGTGTGTGTGTGAGTCCTGGCTCAGCACTGGCCTTGGCCATGTTAATGTCATTATAGCTGGTGTACAGACGAGAGGCCTGGCCAGTTAGTGGCATTGTTGAGTATCACCTTACGCTTACGTTGCTTCCAGCTGGCCTGCGGCTGCCAAAGCTCATTGAAATAGCCACTGTGTATGACTGTGTGGGTGTGTGCATGAATGTGTGTGTGTGCATAAAAGCCTGTGTGCACTTTTTTCATCTAAACAGCCACAAAACACTCCCTAAGCCCACTTAAAGGAAAACACCAAGTTTTTGAGAGAATGGGACATTACTCAACACATGACATGTTTTGGATAAAAACACCAAAATCAACCATGTGTCCCTGGTAGATTGTTCACTCTGGCTCTGATTCATTAGAATATAAAGTGATCATGTAGTCTGCATAAGTTAATCAGTTATCTTAAACGTGTGACAGCTATGCACAGGAGATTGGTAAAGTTTACATGAAATATGATCGAAAAATAATACACTTCTTTGACCCACGAGGGACTACGTTTCCTGTTTCCATAGGAGGGGAACATGGTGGGTGATGGCAGACTGAGAGCAGGTAAATCTACAGGCCACATAAGAAGGGACACAAACTGTTTTTATCACTTTGGATGATGCTCGGTATGCACACAATCACTCAACAGATGAGGATCAATTGCATGCACTGAACGATGGTGTCTTACTTGATTTACTTTGGACTGTAAAGAATTAGGCATAACTTCACAAAACAAAAAGCAATTAAACAAAAGAATTGACACAATTCAACACATTTTTACTGACCAAAGAAGTGGGTTGAAACTAGAGCTTATACAACCTTTAAATACAAAATCTATTAACCATCAGAAGTCAGAGTAAACTGAAGTTCTTTTGTCCTTACCACATTTATGAATCATATATTTTTATACTTGTTAATTAAAATGTTTCAGAAGTTCAACTTGCAAGGTTTGCCACAAAGAATTCTGCAGACCTCATGTTCATGAGCATGTTCAGTTTCTTGAACATCTCTCTCAGACTAAGTTCTGTATGCTTTTAGCAAATGTTCATTCTTAACTTTAGTACAGATTTGAAATTTACCAGATCTCAACATTTTAGGGTGTATAATTTAATGTGGCCCATTATAGAGAAATGTCTTTTGTTTGTACACTGTTGAATAAAGCTGGTCAGCATGCCTGCAGTTTCTGTTGGTAGAGCAGAATAAGACCGTAAGAAGGCGAGGGAGGGGGAGGAAATGGTTGTATAGAAGTTTATATTGGCCCTGCTGGTGATTTTGGTCTTTGTAGGAAGCGAGCCTGTGAAACCGACAGCTCAGACAGTTCCAAGTCTTGATTAAAGGTCGAAGTAATGCTGCTGCATTTGAAGCCTGAATGATATACATTATAATAATGTATACTACAAAGCTGAGTCTGGCACCTGCAAATCGACTGTTGAGTGTCTACTTCTTTTGGGGTTGGAGCCTCAAGGGGTGGAGGGCTGGTGGTTATGTTAAGGGCTATGAATAGGAGGAATGGTGAAAAGGAGAAGGAGGGGAGGAGAAAAAAAACAAAGCAGAGGTGACTGACAGCTCTATCACCACACAGAAAAGTCTGGAAAAGGAAAGAGAGAAAGAAAGAAGAAGAAAATAGGAAGAGAGAGGGAACGCCGGGAGGGGGACTAAGGAGGTTGCCAAACTTGATTGGTCCGGGAGGAGACAGTAAACGGTTGCGGGTCAGCTGGAGGCACGCCGTGCTGGCGGTAGGCGAGTTGTAACTGTGGTAATGAGCTCAATACGGTGTGGATTAAAAAAAAAAACAATGTTTGGAGTGTTACCCTGGCAACGGTGGAACGACGCAAACGCCAAGAAGGGGAGAGACCAGGCGTAACGAAAAGAGTCGGGTGTCTCTTAAATTTAGAAATATACATTCAGCAGCAATCGTGTATTAAACATACTGTAGCTGCACAGAGGGGATTTGTTTCTGTGGTACTTATTTGAACAGATTTTTTTTAAAGTTTTAAAATGAGTCCTATGTTTTTGTAATTTAACTTGATATTTTTAATATTTTTTTTGAGTCGTCAATCTCCATCTTCTGCTTGGTTGTATTTATCTTTGCCCTTGCACACATCCTTTATAGTGTTTAATTAATTAAGTCCTTGGTTAGTCAACTTGTCTGCTTTGAAGTCAAGTGCAACTCTTCTTGCTCCAATTCATGCAGGGTTAAATAGTGATGTGATGGGGTGGGTTTTACTGTCTCAAAGCCATTCACATTCAGCGGTGCCAGATAAAAGTGTGCTTCCTCTTCATAGTACAGTAATTCCAAACCGCTCACATTGGGGGTTTTTAACCAGGTAATGCTTCTGTGATAAACAATCTGAAACAAAAGAGTAGCACAATCCAATAGTGTACACAATACAAATGGAGTCTCATGAAAGAGAAAGTTTAAAATGTCTATAATGCTGCTCCAAAAGGCAACCGTCCAGTATCAAACCAGCAGGCACACAGGCCAAACCTATTTCAATCTTGACTAAACAAAGCAAAGACAGCTCCTTTTCTTATTGCATTTGCCACAAGAACTTTCAAGTAGACCAGAAGTAGACCAACCGCATGGAGTATTTGCAAATTTTGACCCAAGTCTGCTGTTAATCTGTATTTTGGATCCATCTACCTCTATTGATGCTGTCCTAGTCCATTTTCCAAAAGCCTAACTCTACTGTGCATTACTTTTCCATCAGCCTCCTCCCATTTACCAGGAACATTTGTACGCCTCTAACTACTTACAATGCTTTAAATTATGTTTTCTGCAAAGCGGTCATGTTTAGCATCATTTTGAGACCTACAAGTACGTTAGCATTAGCACCAAAGTTTCACTTCCAGAAGTCTGAAAGCGTCATCATGAGCAAGAACTGCTCGCCCCAGGCTATTGTTTAGCACTACAACCTTAAAAAGAACTTGGACTCGAGGCCTTATTCTTGTCACTGGACTAGTTTTCCATTCCACTTCTCTTCCTTTTTCTTTTGCTCACTCTATCTCTCTCTGTCTCTCCCTCTTTCTCTTTTCTTTAGTCCTTTGTTAGGCGGTTGCTTCCTGCGGTGAGCATGGCACTGCCCAGGCACATGTTCTGTGGTGGGCCTGATTACAGCCCTGCCGTAGTGCTGACATTGGCCCGCGCCGACTCCTCATCTGTAAACACACACACACACACACACACACACACACACACACACACAACACACACATATGAATATATACACGTCGGCCCCTAAGTTCCACCAACTCTGCCAGCGGCTACCGCGGCATGACTTCACCCGGCAACCATTCCTTGCGTCAAACAAAATGCCTCTGTCACCAGTAAAAGGAGGAGAGCTGAGAGAGAGGAAGGAAGGGAGGGAGGGAAGGCAGGGGAGAAGAGAAAAGAAGAGACGAGAAGAGAAGAGAGCAGTGGAGAGGAGAGAAGGAGTGTAGCTGTGCGGTAGTTGTGCGGTGGATTCGATGTTTTCCACCGCAGTTTGGGAGTGTGGTTGGGTAATTTTAGCTGGAAGGCCCCAAGGCAGGCTGCTCGAAGAAGTTATTTGTCTCAGAAATGGAGTGGCAGGCAGAATCAGAGAGCTCATGGTGATGGAAGATTGGGGAAGACACTGTTGATTAGCATGGCCTTGAAGGGACTATGACTTGTCTATAAGCTTATCGCATAACAAACATCATGACTCATTTCCCTCAGATACTGTAAAAAAAAGTAGAAAGCAACCCTACAATTAGTTTTATTGTCAGTACCATCAAAGTCATCCCTAGTGACCCAATTTAAAAGATGCCAGGTATACACAGGGACCTTGTCAAGACATTAAGTAATAAGAACTGAATAAGAATTCAAAACGTAAACTGATTTATTTTTTGCGAAGCTCGCATCATATTTCTGAAAACTTCAGCAATTATATTTGCATCTTACTTCAAATAACAGTTCATATCTTTTTATGTATTGCAGGAGCGTCTTCACTATGAGACGCTGAGCCAGCACCTGGGGAAGCTCGGGGAGGATGCTGGGAAAATGGTCCATCGAGTCATTGACCTGACAAGACCAGAAGATCTGGATGGTAAGCACCTCCGCTGCCTATCTCTGTGCTGTCTTTTGCCTTATTCTTCTTCTCTTGTTTCTGGATGGTTTTGCCTACTTTTCTGAAGACTCTTCACCTCCTCATTTTCAGTTGCTTATAATCTTGGCAATTCAGAAATGTATACAGACCCACAAAAAGCATGATAGAAAATGGAAGGCTAGAGGGTTATAAAGGGAAGGGGTCGCTGGAGTTTTGAGAAGCAGAGTCTTAAGTTAGAAGAGGTTACATCCTGTTCAGACTAAATTGATACCAGTGACCCTTAACTCCATGGGCCCCACATAGTAGAGGCCCTACTTCTGGGGGTCTTGCATCTCAGAGCTCCACAATAAAGAAGAAGACATTTTTCAGAAAGCCAGAACATGCAGGTATTCAGTGAATACAAATATTTATTGTGCTCCTCAGGAAGCTACGGTGAAGGACACCCTCAAAAGCTAAACAGTGTTCAATGTCAACATTTTACTCTCTTGAAAAATGTTAGACTGTTATTATTCCTGCAAGTACATGACAAGAGTAAGACTGAATTCTCCTCCTTTTTTCCACAAGTGTTTGTGACACAAGATCCCACCCAGTACAAGTATGCAAACAAAAGCAGGAGAAGACAGGCAGCAAGTCTGTTGTAGTTAATGGTGAATGGAGTTCACTGCAAATAAGAATTCTGACATTTTTAATGACTGATAAGATGAACTTCATGTATTGTGTATTCCATGCAGTAAGCAGATACTGTTTCCTTCTCTGAATGTAGTCTAAGGACACTTACTTGGTGTTAAAAGTCTTTTTTCTTCTCCCAACCCACCTGTTACTCATAAAGAACCACTGTTTACAAGCCATGAGGAGTTGAGGAGTGCTCATTGTGGTTTAGTTTAGAATCAGAGGAGTAAACACAGGCGCATAGGCACTGAGATACTATCAGGCGGAAGCAAACTGACTATGGTGTGTCTACTTTTTGTGAGCATGTTGAGGGCATCCTAGCAAGACCCCCATCAGACTTTTGTTATACATCCTTTCTCAAGGAGGCAGGGCTCATCCTAATCAGTGCAATATCCTGCAAAGTATGAAAGATTAATGTTTCAATGAGGGGTATATAGACAATGTGATTTCTTTGTGTCATATAGGGAATAATATCACAGAGGCACGAGTGTTCAGGGAAGCACGGGGCAGGAACAACAGCGAGCCCCACATCAAGAGGCCCATGAACGCCTTCATGGTGTGGGCCAAAGACGAGAGGAGGAAAATCCTGCAGACCTTCCCCGACATGCACAACTCTAACATCAGCAAGATCCTTGGTGAGATTTGACAGATTTATCTTTGACAGGAGAGAGAGAGCGTTCCAAATTAAACCTTAACTCCTATAAGCTCCAGGCTTCTCCCACCTAATGTTCTGCTGTTGGAGGATTCTTTTAATTTTTATCTCCTTGTGAGAATATTTGGTTCAAATCGAGTTGGGGTGAATTATGCTTTCTATGTGCGTGTACTAAATGTATCAGTGTTTGTGTTGAATATTAGAAAATGAGAGAAAATTGAGTGAAAAAAAATTGAAAATGACCTGTTGTAGTAACTTAGAGGCATTGACACAATCAGCAGCTTTTTTGCATGAGCCCTCAGATTTTCCTCTAGACAATTTCTTATCTGTTCTTGCATGGACCTCATTTACTATAAACTGTGGCAATCGGTTTCTTTTCCCAGCCAATTCATCACCTTTTGGATGTGTAGGGGCATAAAATCTTGTTGAAAATCAGTTTAAAACAATCTTTTATCTGTGTATTATTTAGTTTAAAAATGACCATTATATGCTGTACATCAGCACCTTACAGACGCGCACGCACAACTCCTTCCACTATCTTGTTAAAAGACATAACGCGTTTCTACAGTTCACCGGGTTCCCTACCAGCAGGCTGTGGACTATAAGAAGGACTAGTGTGTTTTTAAACCTGGAACACTTCACACACAGAGCTCCACTGTGTCAGCTTGACTAGTGTGATGGATGCATTCAGTTAAAAAGTAGCTGTGTTGATACTAACCTCTTTGACACAGATAGCCATTCACACGGTTCTGAGCATAACGGTTGTTTGGTAGATGTTCTTAAGACCTCCACTGTCCGACGCAAGGCTCCGGTGAGCTCCAGGGATGCTGAATGTGAATGCCCCTCCTGAGCAACATTAACAAATTGATTTTTCTTAGGTGGGTCTGTTGTTGACTTGGAGCTCTGAATGGGCTCTGATAAAAGGGCGTTTTGTGTTCGACAAAATGCTACCTGCATTTATATGATGTATCAAAGTTTCACTGAGAGAATCTCAATGTAATCAGATTTATTTCCTTATTATAATAAATAGTCATTGTGAAATGATTTGATTAAAAGTCATATTTACAGTCAAAAATTGATAGTTAGGACCTGTTGGCAGGAAGTATTAAGAAATGATTTTCCAGTAATTTATCAAAACAGGAAAAAAGCAGAATTTAAAGTGCTCAATTGTGTATCTGTGTAAGACTGCGTGTGTACAATTCATGTCTCTCCAACATAATAACACAGCTGGACTTTGGGGAGTGGGTGGCAGGTTTAAAAAAACTCCTCTCTGTTTCCTGTGTCACAAAAGTACAAGACTAGTTTGTGATGAACCTTGATAAACAGAGAGGCAAAGCGGAGTGTGTATAATCAGTTGTCAAAGTGCTTCGCAGATGTGCTGCCTTCCTGTGGTAATGGCCCTGTCCACTTGTTCAGAAGATCCTCTTACCGGGGAAAATAAGAAGTACACAAAGTATCATTATTCTTGAGCCAAGAGGGACCCCAGTGTAATCCACTCCTGATTTTAAACAGCGTCCTTGGTTAAAGACTTGATGGTGTCTGTTGACATGATAAAAACATCTAACCTGAATAAACCACCAGACATGCTTCTATTTTCTAACGTTTCTATGTGTACACCACAGCCCTTTGACTCCTATGATGAAATTAAATTGCAGTTAAGATGACAGTATGTCAGCATTGTGCTCTGTGTTCAACAGTTTAGAAGAGCATGTTAAAACCTTTTTCACCACTCCCTAAAGTTTCTAAATGTGAGGAAGTTAGTGACTTCCTAAAGTCTGTAATGTGGATTACATGTTTTATGACAAAGCTAAGTAAAACTACACTAGAAAATAGAGACTAAAAGAAAACTGAAATCTCAATCATTTGCTCCAGGCTCTCGCTGGAAAGCCATGACCAACCAAGAGAAGCAGCCATACTATGAGGAGCAGGCCCGCTTGAGCAAGATCCATTTGGAGAAATATCCCAACTACAAGTACAAGCCACGGCCCAAGAGAACCTGCATCATCGACGGCAAGAAGCTACGCATCGGAGAGTACAAGCAGATGATGCGGTCACGACGTCAGGAGATGAGACAGTTTTTTGTGGGGTGAGTACCAGTGTCAGCAAAAAAGTTGTCTTTGCAGTTGGCTTTCTATAAAAGTGCTTATACTAGTTTGAAAGAAAGCTGAAGTGAATCCTTTTGTGTAGCTGTATTAAACTTTTTTCAATGTAAAGACCTTCAAATAGTAATAATGTTTCAAAGACTTTCATCTCAGCAATGCTCAGTGAACCTATAATCTTCCTTTTTAGTCATGGTGATGGAGATTCAGCCATTGTTGCCATCCTCAGCTTTTACTCAGTACTGTTCAGGAGACAGTAATGTGTTGTTGAGGTCTTGAAGAAGACGCGTAGCCTTTTTCAAACTGACCTGACCCTACTTTTCATTTGTAGAAATACAATGACTACAATGTATGTGTCTCCTGTACAGTTTTCAATGACATTTTGTATGTTATAAGTTACAACATTTTATAATTACAAGGTATATCTTTAGAGAAATAGCTGGTCCCACACACTTTTCTCCATGACTGAACTGCATACAATGATGGAAGGAATATTTCTTAAAAGGGGACATTGTGCATTGACAGCCACAAGCCTTGGATCACAGAAAGGTTCTGTGTCTTGCTCAAGAAGACTCATTTACTGCTGCACCTGTGACCTCTCAGTACATTTGGATCTTTAATAAACATGCCATCCTGCTAGCCTTGGCCTGAATATGGGTATTTTAGCAGGAAGAATTAGGGGCATTTTATTCAGATATTTCACCAGCAAGTGCGCTGTTTCTTAGCACTTTATATGATGTCTTTTGTCTTGAAGTGTTTCAGTATGAATCTAAAATAAATATTTTTAACTACATCCATTTGCTATAAGTCTGTGGAGTGACCATAACCGTTTATTACCTTTTATGAAAGGTTCCTTCATTGAACCTCCTGGTTGTAGCTGCAAAACACTTTCAACATTCACTCAAGAGCATGATATTTTTTAGAGTGTATTCAGTGCAGCGAGGGGAAAAACAGTGGCATTGTCTTAATAGGAACCAGCCATGGATGTGTTTAAAGCCATCACAGTGGCCTGTGTTTGAGATGGATTTACCAGAGGCCACGGCTTTGAATAGGAGCGATTTTTAATAGCTTGTCATTTATTAAATTAGGACAATGCTGGGCGCTTGCGGGCAGTGAAATTGGACACAGACAGACATAGTGGAATATGAAATGTAAGCAGATGTTTGAGAGGGAACGAGAGCGAGGCAGACGTCACTGGGTGAATGCCACATTTACTGTGTGTGGTCAAGCAAATGCAAAAAAAAAAGCTTATGGTTCTCCAGGCCTGGACTTTCAATCAAAGCTAAATCAAATAGCTACTTGGAGCCAGTACACAACCAGTTTTCTGGCACATTCCATATAACTAAACCAGTGTTGTTTTAAAGCGCTTAATGTGAAAATGAGTCTGTCAGAGCGTACGGCGGTAATTGTTTCAGGAGACAGAGGAGGGAAAACTGTTAGGTGAGAAAAGTGACAGCAATTTTCCTGCTTTATGTGGTTCATTTGAGCAGCCACAGGGCCTGTTTGAGTGATGTGCGTTTACCCTCATTCCATCTATATCTTAACAGGTTATTTAGCCGATGCTGCTGTGAGCTGGCAGGGAGAGCTCCATGTTAGGACATGCCCGGCCAGATGAGAAGCATTGCTGTTTGACTTAAGTGGCCTGGGAATTAATGTTTTGTTCAAAGCAGTTTGTTCAAAGGAGGTTATAATGAATCAATCAAACACAGATCCATCCACCTTGTATAGTAACCAGTTGATAAATTAACTGTTGCTATGACTAAATCGTTCAACTTTGAATTTGATTATGCAGTCTGTGTCTTTATTGCCAGACTCTAAGGATGGCAGTGTGCGTCTGTTAGTCTGTCAGTCCACATCATTGGTCCAAACTGAAATGTTTCAACTATTCAGGGCAGGTTTGTCCAATACTTGGCTTAGTAATAATTGGTTTATACCAACAAAATACCTGCAAAACTAAGGACATTATCATCAGCCACAGTTGTAATTAGCAAATGATAGAATATTAACACCCTCAGATGGTTCACATCATACCTGCTAAACATCAGTATGTTAGCATTTACATTGTGAGCTTGCTAGCAGCAGCGTGCAGACACAAGCATTTAGCTCAAAATACTGCTGTGTAGCTTCACAGAGCCACTAGCTTGGTTATGTATACAGGTTGTTTATTGTTTTTGTATCAATAAACCTCCATTTAATACCTTACTTTTCTAATTCCATCCTCCTCTTCTTTCCTCGTTTCTCAGGCCTCAGCCACCGATTCCTCTTGGCAACAGCCCGGGCGGTGTAGGAGTTTACCCAGGTGCCATAACCATGGCAACGACAGCCACACCATCCCCACACCTGACCTCAGACTGCTCCAGCAACTCAGCCAGCCCCGAACCCACCATCCCTGTCATTCAGAGCACGTACGGGGTGAAGTCCGAGCCTGGCAGCAGAGGCAACAATGGCGGTGGGGTCGGAGCCTTGGATCTGCCCAGCGACCCCACCAATGGAGACGATGACATGGACATGTACGAGGACTTTGAGGACGAGCCCAAATCAGACTATAGCAGCGACCACGAGACACGGGAGGCCGTCAGTGCCAACTGAGTGTACTCAGGGTCTCAGATGTAAAAAGAGAAAAAAATAACTCCTGTTATACTCAAAGACACTTTTTAAAAACACAGTTTATTACAGAGACCCTTCAGGCAGACCTTCAGGACATGTTGCGTCATGCACTGAGCATGCCCAGACAGGATTCAAACTCTGTGGACATGCTCCGAAAGTGAGAAAAGAAAGAAGAGAAGAAGAGGGCTGGTGGGAAAAATGTGACCCAAGAAAACAACCTGAACAGACATTCAGACAACTTACTGACAATGAACTTCAGTTTCCTACACTTCGACAATCTTAACAGGAGCAAATAAGAGTTAGACAAGAGAGAGAGAGAGAGAGAGAGAGAGAGAGAGAGAGAGAGAGAGAGAGAGAGAGAATGGGACAAAGAACAAATGAGCAACGAACACATTGCTGTGTGGTTTGTAAAGAGCATGCATGGATTTTGAAGCATCAGGAGTTGGTCTTCAACAGCTATTTGGTCTTAAATGTTTAAGGAGTGATTTAGTTTTCATCATTATGTATTTACTTTTTTGTGGGTTTTTTTTCCTTTTTGTTTTTGTTATATAGACTTTTTTCTGACAGGTCACTGCCTGTACAAACTCTGGACTGTCGGAACTTGAAATTTGAAAAGTTTTAATATAAATCCTAGCTATTGTAATCTTATAGTCTTACTTTTGTTTCTTATGAATACAGTGCATCTACATAATTTTTTTCTGACAAACTGCTTACCTTACATTACTGTTTTTTTTATATCCCAGCTCAGGTATGATGTGCCAGCTTGTGAATGTGTTTTTGTTTTGTTTTGTTTGTTTTCATACAAAAAGCAAAAAGAGTGGTAGGACTTTTCAATGAAATAAAGGGAGCAAAATCCCTTATCACATTATTATTATTATTATTATTATTATTATTATTATTATTAAGTAATTAAGTACCCAGTCATTGTACAAATTTACTTCAAATGTGCCAAACCTACATTCACATTCACTCTGGATGTTGTAGTCTTAACTTCCAATGCTGCAAAAAGTCTTATACAATCAGCTTTTTCTATCTGATGAGATGAGTTCCTACTCAGTAACTGCTGGCTCCCCTCCTGGCCCAGTAACAAGCAGAGCTCAGGGAGGATGTGTTTTCATCACACTCGTTCAGACTCACACACACACACACACACACACACACACACACACACACACACACACACACACACAGATACACACTTTGTGTCGCTCTCTGGCAGCCCCTTCAGCTTTGAGATGTAGTCAGAAGAGCAGCATCGAATGCTTCAGTTCCACTGCATTGGTGCTTTCATGAACCACACTGACCATAGTTCCTTGAGGCCAAACACTTGTGCACATTGTGCAAGAAGTGCAGTACGGTGTAACCAAACACCGGCATTTAGTATTTGAGTCTTTCCCTTTCAATCTGGCTACAGTTATAGACATTTTTTGGCTTGATTTGTGCTTAGACACTAAGAGTCTTTTAAGTGTACCTTTAGCTCTCTTCATTCAGCATCATATTAAAGGGGATGAGCAGCCCCAGATTTAGCCTACTGTAGGATAAGAGTTTAATATTCTGGATCCCTTCACTGTATTTTGAATTGTGTTTTGAATTGGTACAAAAATGTACAAAATGTTACTATTTTTATTAGCCTGTTAATATTTGTAAATGTCTTCTCATCATCACGTGGGAAAGATACACCAAGCTTGTGTTTTAAAAAATACTTTATATAGTTGCAAAAAAATGGGTTTAATAGTCTGTTATTTCAAAAAGGGTACATTTTTCTACGTTGCATGTATATTTTGATGACAAGTAAGTTATTAAGACAAGAATGGAGGGAAAAAAAGGTATATAATTCTGAATCAGCTTCTCAGTCAACCACCCCAGTCAGAGCACACAAGTTTTTCCACAGTCTGAAGAGAGTTGTTCCTCTTTCGTCTTGGTGCGGCCCAGTGGCCAGCGCCATGCTGGGTGTGCATGCTTTTTCCTCTATTTTACTCAAATGTCACATTCTTTCTCTGAAGACACATCATATTCTTTCTTTGTCTCTCTTCACCACTCTGCAATTTTGAACATATTTCCATTTTCAACACCTGTGACCTCAGGTTGTTTCTGGTTGCTCTGCTTAGCTGTCAGCTGTTTAACACGTCTTCTGACTCCATATTTCTCTTCGTGACCATATCTGGCAGATTTTACTTGGAAAAGCTTCACAAGCTGGGACTGAACATTGGTTTTCGCTTGCATCACAGGAAAAAAGCCTCATGCATAGACATTTCTGTTAGTGTTAAACACATCCTAAGCACTGGATATAAATTTGTTTTTTTTTAGTTTTTTTTTAGTATTAACTAATGTGAAGTTGTTGTTTGATTTTCAACATGATAAATTAGAACAGTCAAAAGTCACATGCTCAGACTTTATAGGAAGCCTTGTACATGCCAGGCCCAAGTAAATTGCCATTTCTTTGGAAGCACTTCATTTATTGAAGCAAGTTTTGTTGCCGCAGCTCTAGTGCCGCCTAAGGGGGTCACATCACCTCTGATCTCTTTAACCTCATGCTCTTGTCAGTTGTGACCTGCAGAAGCAGAATTAACGTTTCCTGGTCGGACACATTTTGTGATAAGTATTGTATTTGAAATTCAATTGTGCGTTTTAACATTTCATTGTATTTATTAGCCAGCTTTGGCTCTAAAAGTGTCAGTACAACTTGGTGAGAAAGACAATCAAAAAAATAAATAAATAAAGAAAAGGAAAAGAAATGAGACTTTTCTTACAAATCTGTCACTTTGTCCTTCCTTTTCAAGAGTTTCTTTGACTTCTGTGGAAAGATAAGAGATGAGTATTTGCAAAACACTTCATTTGCAGAATGAAGCACCTAGTGTTCTGCGTGTGAAAGCACTGTGCACAAGTTACAGGTAGTGCTGCATGAATTTGTATTTCCATTGCTCTTAACGGTGCTCTTACTTTCCAGAGATCTAATAATTTCCAACACAAGGCTTTCTGTTTCCAATGTCGAGCTATTCCACTTGGTCTTTATATTTTGGTGGCCCATTACAGTAAATGTGGCCTATTGTTCCATTGTGTGTGTGTGTGTGTGTGTATGTGTGTGTGTGTGTGTGTGTGTGAGGAAACACCACACATTCTGACTGTGCTGTGGTGTATACGCCACGGCGCCGGTGCTCGCTGCAGCCAATCCCAGCATTTCAGAGAGAGAAATGGAGAGCTCAGCCATACACAGCCACATCATAAATCTAATTGTAATTCCCAAATCAACTGTAGCGTCACCCTGCGAGGGGCGCCGGCAAGTTTGTCACACACTCCTTTGTGTGCACTTTTGTGTGTATGTGCACTGTGCTATAGCTTTTAGTTGGGAGGGGTGCTTGAAATCATACTTGTGCTGTTGCCATGCTAATCTCGTTAAATAAGTCATCATAATTTACATTTCCTTTTTCCTTTATTCAGGATGAACATTTAGCTGTTTGCGAGTTGACAGATTGTTTCTGTGTGCACAGTTGTATGCAAAGCTTTCAGCACCTTAACAAAGGATAGTGTACTTTATTACAGAGCAGTCATAGTTACATACACTCATATATACACAAACTTAAATTATCCCAGAAGGAAGCTGACATAATCCACAGTTTTCCATTCAGTCTGCTTGATTTCCCAGTTGTTAAAGCTACTGGTAGCTAAATGTAAAGAGGTTATCACTCTTAACTTAAAAAATAACTTAAAAATGTCACACATATAAACCCTGCTTAATTAATATTGTGTCCATTCTCAGTGTTTGTTCATTAGAGATTTCTAGAAGTTTCCAAACCTCAAATGGACCGCGATTAGCTCTCAAGCTAGTGATGTCAAAAAATCATGCTGGTACTCGCACAGAGAAACTACTCTACTCAAACTCTGCACCTACAGTACATCATTCTGCACAGTAAGGTCAAACAGTAACAGGTAATGTAACAATAATAATAATACATCTTTGATTGCAGGGGGACATTAAAGATTCATATTGGAACTTATTATTTAACCAGACATGTTTTTCTACAAGTTGTGGTTTTCAGCTGTATTGTTTATTGACCAAGCAACCAAAACAATTAAAGCTAAAAATAAAATGAAAAGTTAAACCCAGATATTTGACAATAAAGCTTGACAGCTTGCCTAGTACCTGCCCTATTGTTCTTCTCAAATGAGGGAGAAATTGCCCTAGTGATAAACCAAGGAGTGATTACACAGGCTTTGAATTCACCTTTCTTTACTTGTGGGTTTGGTATATGTGGGGATGATGTTTAATGTCAAACTTTCTTCATGGAAGTCTGGTTTTGGATGGACCCTGTAGGCAAATTCAGTTTTTTATTTTTACAAACCATCTCGAAGAGTAGAGAGAACAAAATCTCTTCTTTTTTTCTCCTCACCAATCGGGCCTTTAGATCAAGAGAATTATAAATTGTTATTACAAAGGAGGAGCCCCCTTCAGACGTGTTGGAGAGGCTCTTTTAATGAAGCATCAAAGCCACCCTGTTTATGATCATGGAGGCTCCACTACTCATTAAAGTGCACAGAATGGTCACAGTGCCGCAGCACGCCATCCTCTTTGAGCTAAGAGCTTATGATGCTTAATCATTCAAGTGCGTTTGATTCAAAAGGGGAATAATTGACCTGCACACTTCCACCGAGCCGATCCTGTTTCACAATGAGCACTGTCTGTGTGATTTTTGCAGGTATAAAAAGTTAGTAGCAGCCAGCATTTGAGTTTTTTCAGACTTTCAGGTTACCACTAATTGTTGCTTTGAGTGCATTTCAACATGAGACAGGTTTAATGATGGACATGCTACAGGAAATCAAAACAAGGTTCATTGAAAGGTCAATTGAGATCAGCACACCATATTTTTTGCTTATCAAAACTATAAATATAAATTTTGAAGTGCTTTTGCTTCAGTTTGAGGTATCAGATATTCTTCTTTAAAAAAAAACAAGTTTTTTATGTTGACATTTGTACTGTAGGTAACATCTGTTCTCATCTATGCCAAAGTCTTTGCTGGGAAGCAGGCTAAAAGCATACAGCCATGCTAGCGACATAGAATGCTAATTTGCTAATTAACAATAAACACAAAATACAGTTGAGGCTGAGGGTAATGTTATTAGTTTTGTAAGTAGCTATTTAGTCATAAACCAAAGTGGTGAAGGCTAAGTGGGATCAATAAAGTCATTACAATTCATCCTGAGGGGAACATGAATGTCTGTACAAACTTTCATAGAAATCCATCAGATAGTTAGATAGAAGCCTATTCATGCAAAACCACAAAATCTCACCAGAGTAAAAGTCACGGGATCATCAAAGTCAGTAGGAATGATCCTCTGTGGACCATGAATGTCTACAATAAAATCATGATAAGCCACCCAAGGGCAAAATCCTCTCTCTGAGATGGACCAAGTGGGGAATGAGTTATCTCATCTCAGTACTTCATTCTGATTATGTGGCCTGTAACATTATGGTTAACAATCTGCCTCTTCCCCTTGTAGCTGGAGACCCCATTATCAACAAAGGTGATAACCAGCTTCATGATACAGGTTATACATGATCACAAATGTTCTTCAAACTCTGGAATAATTAACTCAAATACTAGATGCAAAAGCTGCCAGCGATATTGTTATGCAAATGTTGTTTGAGTAATACAATGTCTTGGTGTGTGCATGTATTTTCTTATTATGTTTATTTTGTGGCACGCCACTGTGCTTATGAATGCTGCTTCCACCCGACTGAGTGTAATTAAACAAAAGAAAAGTATAAGCGTAAACTTGTATAAATGAATACTTTTTTGGGGGTCGAATTTCCCTCACATGTACATTTGGGGACGCTTGTCATGAATCTATCTTATAGTTGAGATATTTTGGCCCTAACTGAAGTGGTGGACACACATGGACTGACTGACATTGCCAACCCTAGAGCTACATTCTTTGTGTGGCTAAAAGTAATCTGACATTGGAAGAAGGAAGATAATAAGAATATTTAATTGAAGAATGGATATATATGAACATCTGCACTTGCTTCAACAGGTTTCACTCACAAACTGAAATGGTGGTTTTTATATAATACTAATAATAATATATGAAATTTAGACAAATATGCTGTATATTGGCAGTATATTTTTTCACCCACTATGGCTAGTGTGTCAAAACTTCCCTTGAATTCATTGTTGGACAGTGTTTTGCAAATTAAAATTGATAACAACTGTAAATTATGGGGGGGGGGTGTCTTATTAGAATTCCAAGGGTCAGAAGCCTTGGGAGGCCTTCAACAATAACTAAAAAGCTAAATGCAATACCTGAATAAAAGGAAATCACAGGGGAAAAAAACCCTGAAAGGAGTTGCTTTAGCTGTGTCTGTGTTTCAGTGTCTTTGAAACATTGCATAAAGCCCTATACTTCTTTTTTATTGCAATTAGAAATGAAAGAAAAAAATCTACAGCAGTTTTTGGATGGGCAATGGACAAAAGGCCAATTTTTCTTTTTTGAGGCAAAGTCCTTGGGTCTTTTTAAGTGCATTAGTCCGCTAATTAAATGTTATATGTTTAACGAAAAATGCACTTTGAAAGCAGCTGGATTGTTTGACTCAAAGACACGGCTGCAGCCTTGATGAGTGGAACTGTGTGCGACCATGAGGAGGTAAAGACCTGCATTGTTGCCAGTCCTCCCCTCATTTCACCCGCCATAATCCTTTCAACTGATTTTACAATCACATTCCCTTTTGTGCTTCCCTCGCAGACAAAGACACAGTTATGCAGAGGAGGGGACTTGACATTTCTGAGCATGTTGCATCCATTTTGCACAGTCTGATGTGTTTGTTACATTGACTACACATCGACTTATTGTTCACTATTCAAAATGGTGTGACGCACTACATGCTGGTTTGTTTACAAAAGAAAATGAAAAGCCTTGGGTTAAAACAACAGAAACTTGGGAAAATAGTGCTTAGTGGCAATCTTTCATGCTTGGACTTATCTCAATTCCATGCAAGTAGGAGGTATACATAATGCAACATTTAACATATTTCATGTTTTAATATCTGCAGAGCTCCTTTTTAACATCTCCATCTTTACTGTAACACTGTAATATACTGTTTGTATATACCATTTTGACTAACTTCGTTATCTGCTTTGGGATATTGCTAAACAGTGGTAAAAACTGTGAGTTCTACCTAAGAAATCTAAAACGATTTAAGTTTTGAATTGTAATATTTTGGTAGTCGGATTTGCATATTTTCTAAGGTCATTTGTGTTTTTGGTTCCTGGTAACTGAAATGGTGAATATTAATTGTGTATTTAAAAAAACAATCAATAAACTGTTTTCATTCAAAGGAGTTGCAGTATAAATAAATATAGTATAGTCACTGCGAATAGATCCACTGCAAAGTTTGACAGTTCCTTGTTTATTAGCAGGGTATTAGGCTATACGCTTCTCCCAAAACAGGTAAACCTTAGTGGTAGCTTCCTTAAGAAACCAAACCCAAAACCCCCATCATTCTAGTCTAAAGTTAGTTACAGCAACTCAGCGGTTATAGTGTGCGCCACAATTACAAACAAAACACTATAAAGAGACATAAATTAGCAGTTTAATTAATAGGTTGCACACATGTAACTTTTTACTTGGTCCTCTGAGGCTACAAGATATTTTAAGATCAAAAAGCTTTCTCTATTTCTATGGTTAAAGGTGGCTGGCAGTGTTCAAAGATGCTTCTCATGTGGTTAATGTGTCTAATCACACCTTGAATCATGCAGGGGACACTAGCACAGGTGAATAACTGACACAGTAACATAAATGTCCCACAACACACACACACACACACACACACACACACACACACACCACAGCGCCACCTGAATTATGTTCACTTGCAATGTTTTGCTCCAGTGCAAAGAAGTGCAATCTTATAATACTGCTGAAAATGTGTGGAGAGAAAGGCGGCTAGGAGGCAGAGAGTGTATTGCTCATTAGTTTGACTCTCTAATCCTTCAAATCAGCACTGCCTTTTTCAATATTAAACCAAGATCACAACCTTTCTCAAAATTTAACCAAGTGCTTTGGTTGCCCACCCTTGTGATGTATTTGCCATTACCACAATATTTCCAGAGCATTAACCAAGTGCTTTGAGTTGCCTAAACATAATCATGAAGCTCATACTTAAAGTTGCCAGCAGCAGATACTGCAGGGAAAATAAATGAAAATCTTTGAGAGTAAAGTTGAACTCAAAATTTAATTCTTGACCTCTGGAGATATCAGCTGACAAAACAATCTCACCACAAGGTCTAAGGTTTAGTAGCTGCTCTTTTGATTATATTATATTACCTTCATCAGAAGATGCCCATTTGCAGTGAAATTGTAGATGCTTAGATTTCCATTTTTCTGAGCACTTTGGGTACTTCTCATCTATTTTAGATTAAAAAATTGGATTGCATGTTTATTCTTGACTTTAGTAGGAACAGTTGACAGAACAACTGAGACTGGTGATTTTGCATCATAATCATACATTAGCACTGAACACAATCCATAGCAGAGTAAGTAGCTAGCAGTATAGCTACTTAATCACAAAAAGAAAGAGAAACATTCTGCAGCTTTTATGTATAGCATTTCAGGCTCTAAACACCACAGTGGACCCTAACATACACTCACAAACACACAAACAGTCAACAAGTCCAACTCACAGTTCGACGTCAGTGCTGGATAAACAGTTCAGGAAGAAATGAAAGAAGAAACCAGTCGGCAGTGCAGGCAAAATCCTCGTCAGAAGACCCAAACTAGTCTTTTCCTTTCAGTAGTAGCATCATCTGGTCTAGCAACTCGCTGGCCTTTAGCTTAGTTAGCATTGACACACTTGCACACAACATCCACTTTGATTAAGCAAGAAATATGCATTACTTACCTCAACTACAGTTTCTTGATTGAAGTCAAGACCCACTCACGTCAAGCAGCACAGAGCAGATCGCACTGGTGGGAAGTCAGACACGGCATAGAGAATCGGATACATTTTTAATACTGGATCGAATTTCAATATTCGGACGATATCGTGGCACCAGGCCAGAAGTCAGTCAGTCAGGAGATTTTAAGTGGAGAAAAATACTGCACTGTATATTTTTTAATTCTAGTTTCTGATTTATTGAACATTTGGGACAAGCTAATGACCTGCAACAGGCATCCAATAAGGCAGATGATAATGATATCACATCTCAGCATGTCCTGATAGTTGTAGGCTATAGTGTCAAAAGTGATGAAACATAAATAAATGTCAAGTTTAAATATATGCAATGAAAGTCTGAATATATGGAATGAAAGGGTTGGGTGAAGGTGATCGTAGTTGGTGATTATTAAATACTGTATCAAAATAAAGACAGTGATTTGGTGAAACCGCTTATATGATATTTATGATTATATATTTGGATCAACACTCTTTTAGTAATAATTTTAATGTATCTTACCTCGTACATGGTCATATACTTTAGTAATTTATGTTACACAGCCGTGTTTGCACTGCAGTGTGTTTCACGGATAAAACATGAGACGCTTGCCAAATAGAAGGTTGGATGAGGCTACGATAAGCCCTGGTAACCGGATGTCTCCTTCATAAAGAGAATATCGACTCATATCAGACCAGTCTGATGTGTGTAGAGGTCTGTATGGTTATATTTTAGCAGCCTGCTGTTTTTTGCAGGTGATTCAACGGTACTTACAACAACTTAACATATCAGTCCGTGCCTTCAGACGCTGCAGGGATTTCATTAACTGAGGGAGAAGCTTTTTAATACAATATAAAGCCATTGTTGACAGCAGATACTGTAAGAATCACTTACATTCATTTATAGATCAGTGACTGATTTACTGACTTTCCTGCTTTAACCACATTCAGCCTTTTGCTGCTTCCTATGCATTGTGTTTGAACACTTCATTAGTTAGGACTGCTTTTTATAGATTCCGTGCAGGCTCACTCAGTACACTTCTTGCAATAATATCCTTATGGAATAGTATTAGGCCGATGTAATCATATTTTGTTTGATTAGTGAACATCCCACATAAAGAACCTTTAATACTCCTTAGAAAAGAGAAATATTTAAAATAATGCACTACTTCGTACTGAATGTAAGTTGAAATGGAGACTTGTTTTCCATCAGAACTGTGGTACACACTGAATAAGCATGCAAATAACCCTCTTATGGGTTTTATGATCAGGCTCAGTTTTTGTGGCTTTATGCGACTCGGCTAAATGTGGGAACAATTAATGTGTTTCTGGCATGAGCTCCATCTCAATTTGCCAAATAGGCTTATCGGCATACTGACTGTGGTAAAACAAATATTTTAAAAATCACAGTGATAGCAAAACATTTTAACTCACACAACAGCCTGAAAAAACAAACAATGGGGAGCACATTTACAAGCTTATGCTATGCCTTTATTTCCACAGTGGGTTTAGTGAATAGCATTGTATGATGTGACAAAGAAGGACATGGATCACATGACTAAAAACTCTTGTCCGAGCAGGGAGATACTACTTATAATAAAAAAAAAAAAGCTGGTCCTTTACCCTCTGTTTCTAACTCAATGACAATCCAAAATATTCCTCTTTCTTTTCAAAGTAGTAGTTGAGTCGTGCCATGGCATATCTGGGAGGAGAGCAGAGAATAGAAAAAACGATCAGAGAACATACAATTTTTCCTCAAAGCTCTTAGTGAATATTATGTAAATCTATATACCATCCACTGTCCTTGGATGTTTATGGTGCATGATCACAATGTAATGGCTTCAAAGTGACCCAGGATATTTATTGTATATACTGTAATCATCCCGTCTGGCATTCACAGTCTTTCCCTCTTCCCTCTAGGTTTTAAAAAAACCTTTTTTTAAAAGTGCAATTTCCTGTCTTTGTGACTCCCTTATATCAGGACACATTAAAGTTTATTTCCATATACAAAAGTCAAATTCAGAACTAAAGCAAAGCAAAATCTAAAGAAAATTCACTTTTCATTGGGAGGTCCTATTTTTCATTGGGCATATTGTGCTAAAAATAGCAGCATGTGTTGTCCACAGATGTTTTCAAAATGTCTTCTCTTTGTGAGAGTGTGTGTCTACAGGAAACAAACTAGGCACCTGTGAATGACACACACAAAAAGAAATCATTATAGATCAGTGCCCATTCAAAACATGCCTGTTCGGAACGGGTCTGGATTCCATATTACTGCTTGCAGCTTTCTCAATATTACTGACACCAATTGAGGTGTTCCCAAAACATGAGCAACACCAGTACCTTCTTATTGAGTACCGCCACCTGATCATATTTTCTTGAGGGGAAATTAAACTACTTTAATGCCCCCAACCCCTCTAGCAAGCTCAGTTTTTGAACCTCTGTATTTCTAAAACACTGCCTACATCAGTGCTGGTGAGGTCTCCATGTAAACACACTGCTAGGTCAATGCTAAGAAAACAGCACCGAATACCCTAAATAATAATAAAACACCAAAGGAATCAGGGTTAGGGTTATGTTGTGTTAGGGTTGTACGGAATTAGGGTACTGGCACCTTTTTTTGTCCAATTCAGGCACTGGCCACGATCAAATTATTATTATTATTATTGTTAAATTACATTTATTTAACTAAATGAAGTTTTTGTTTTACTTATTAAAATTATCAAAATATGCATTAAAAAGTTAGATTAAAGTCTAACCTGGCACCACCAGACTAATTAGCAAATCTAACTCTAAGAGGTTTTCCATCCAGACGCGATAGCGAATGGATTAAATCTTTCCCCATTTTTATTCTTGATAAAATACATGAATTCATGCTGAAGCTAGCCAGCTACCAAGTTATAGCTAGTTCACAGGGCGTTACAAAGGATAGGCTGCCATTATTTATAAAGTTAGGTAGCTAATGCTAGCTTTATAACATTAAGTTAACCACTGTATAAGGTTTTCAAAACATTAACATCAAAATTAAAATGAACTGACGTGTGTTATGTTATGTATAACCAGTGCTGCTGAGAGAGTGTTAACCTTACCCTCTCTCTACATGGGTCTGATTATGATGTAGTCATCGAGTGCTGTTTAAACTCGTGCATGCATATGTCTAATACTGTGGGTCTGGAACTGCTCTGTCTAGAACTAGTTGTCAGCTTTGCAGGGCAAAATTTCTCAGCTTTCTCCAAAAACCGCTCATCCAAACTACTTACTTACTAAACCCCAAAAAACTAACAAAATTAACAACAACATGGTCCCATTCCAACACGCATGTAAGTATGCATCTTCTGACATAACATTAAAACTCAAACATACTCAGTGCACTTTCATAAAGTCAGGGGACTTGTGAATTGGACATTTAAAAAATAATGGTGAAAATCAAGAAAAAAGAGGCAGAGATACTCTGACTTTTAGTCCCTAGTTTGGGTTAAACTCTGAAGATGATGGATAATGAAAATTCACACAATGCAAAAACTGCCAGCATACTTTATAATATTTTCTTTTAAAAAAGTCTCATGAAATCTTTAAGCTGAGATGACCCAGATGACATCACCATGATCTTTGTGTGAAGAAATGAGGGGTGTTCCTTTAAAATGGATAATCACACGTGGTACATTTTAATAATTATGATAATAATAACAATTAATTATATATAGCATTCGAATCTCTATTCTCTGAAAGCTGTGCCATAACCTCAGTGCATTTCAGAACTTAACTGTGAGAAAAGTGTTTTTATATTTGTTCAAACCATATTATCGAACGTTTCAATAAATCTGATGTCTGAGTACACTGTTGCCCTTGGCCATTATATTATACCCTTGGAAATTAAGTGAAGTTTCAAAAGCACAGAAAATGGAGGCACAGAAAGGAGTTTGTCCTTTAATCAGTGCTTTCACCGAACCCCTCAATGCCAAATCAGTTTTCTTTCTCCTATTGCTCGGTGAGACAAAAAGATAATTCTGACACATGCCTTTTAGTTACTCGTATTCTATCAATCTGTTTTCCACCTGTATCCGCAGGTAAAACTGCTCTCTAATTATTTTGTCAGTCTGGCTACTTCTGTTTGCTTTGTGCAATTCTTCTAAGAGTTGTTTCCTTGCTTCACTTATGGGCCACCTATATAATATACACCTGTAGCTTGGTGACACTCAAAAGCCTTTTTCTCTGGACAGACTTAATCTTAAGTAAACTTTGTGTTACCGTGGATGATTGACAGTTCTTTTATTAACTCAGACAGCAACACGACGCAAAACCTGGTTGTCACTGTGTAAAATAAACTGAAAAAGGTTGAAAATAGCGAATTCCTCAATGGCAATATTCTAATATCAGTTTATGTTAATTGTTAGGCAAAAGAAAGGCTAAGCATTTGCGTGCATTCTATGATACAGTTAAAGTTAGGTCCCGAGCCAATCCTACGGATCGGCATCAGGGCACAAAAAGTCACACTAGTGAGAGTGACTCTGAGTTTTGACACCCGGATTGAAGGATTGTCAATTTCAGCTGTCACAGTCTCCCAGTTAAACTTTCTTTCATATCATATATCGATAATTTAAGATCTTTTTAAGATGATGTTATAAGCTTGATTACGGTGGCCCTGAGGTGCAAATCACAATGGCAAATCAGAAAACACAACACAAAAAGAGAAAACACAACGGCAAATCAGAAAACACAACGACAAATCAGAAAACACAACAAAAGAGAAAACACAACACAAAAAGAGAAAACACAAGGGCAAATCAGAAAACACAACACAAAAAGAGAAAACACAACGGCAAATCAGAAAACACAACACAAAAAGAGAAAACACAATGGCAAATCAGAAAACACAACACAAAAAGAGAAAACACAACATAAAAAGAGAAAACACAACGGCAAATCCAGAAAACACAACAACATTAAACAACAACGGCAAATCAGAAAACACAACGGGTGACATGAACCAAACCGGAAAAGGTTGGTACAAAAGGGTAACATGAGTCCGTCCTTTGAACTGGACAACACAACACCGCCAGACCTATGCGTTCAAGTTGCCAAATCTGAAAATTCAAACCACTAAATAAGGAAAATATTATATTAATACGTCCATGTTAATGTGGGATACCTAAGAGAGGTAGAAACAGGGGTTCCAATAGTCCATATCTATGTGTTTTCTGATTTGCCGTTGTGTTTTCTCTTTTTGTGTTGTGTTTTCTCTTTTTGTTTTGTGTTTTCTGATTTGCTGTTGTGTTTTCTCTTTTTGTGTTGTGTTTTCTGATATGCTGTTGTGATTTGCACCTCCGGGCCACCGTACTTGATAGTTCTGAATGCTTTGATATGAAGCTTCAGAATTTCAATCAATCTAAAATAAACGATTGATAAATCTCAAAGGTATGAAATAAGCATTCAGTTACTTCAAATAAAAAGGACATAGAGTTTTATTGTAAACTTATCCCCAAAAACCCCATCAAAAATCACTCATTACTAGTCACTAAACCCAGTTTAGATGAAACCACGCCTACTTCTGTATGATGGAAGCCCACACCCTTCACAAGTAGTATTATATTTGAGTATACCCATTTAAAAGAACTGCAACCTTCACAGGGGATCCCATTTATCCTTATTTTTATTAAGGCCGACACCTAAAACTAGCGTGCTTAACATTTATCATCATCAGAGATGAAACTGAGATGTTTTTCTCTTTAGCAGAAGTAGGGGAAAATGAACTCCCTCCAAAGCAGGTATTCCATTTCACAATGTGCTTTTGTGCACAATTTCCTCAATTTTGCAGTCAGGCTATTCCAAACAGTGGGCCTCCTCCTCGTTGATTTCCTCATAATAATGTCTTTGTTAAATAACGGCTCACCTTGCCAACACGTCCACAAATCTAAACCGCTGACTTGCAGACACTTTCAACACATGAATAAAATCAAATAAGGAAAGTAAATATGGACGGTAGAGGGAGGGCGGGTTTGCATTCCCCTTGTGGCTCCCTATTGTCACTTCTACATCTGGTCCTGGTTAAAGCACAAGGCCTCAGCGACGCCTGTCACTCGTTGGGAAGTTGGCAGAGATTTAGCTCAGGGGGATAACAGTGGGAGGAAACACACACACACATGTGCGCGCGCGCACACACACACACAGATTCAGGGTTTAACTCTAACTTCCTATCCCTTGTTTATCGTTGTTTATCACAAAAGCATAAAGCAGCAGCGATATAAAAATGCTTGGTTAAGCTAAGGGTAAGGTTGTGGTCATGACAAGTAAATTATGGTTAAAGCTGCATTAATCATTATACTTTGAATTTAATAAAATTACTATGTGTAATGTGAAAAAGGTCTCTTGCAGTAATTAACCCACAGAAAATGATCAACCAAACTGCAATAAATTTTATGGCACATTTACTGAATGGTTCAATCTCAGGCAGGCAGCCGTTTTCAGCAATGAGGCTTTGATAAACACACTCTGCGCTAATTCCCCAGTACCACCAAACTGCAGACAGACAAAGTTAGCAGCTAGCTTGTGAAAGCAGAGCATCTAAAAGAGCTGGATAATTCCCCCTAACAGCAAATACACATTAAAACAATTAGGTTAAAAGTTGTTGAAATATCAGATATATAAGTTGCTGGAACCCTAAACAGAGTTACAAGGAGATTAATTTACAATCCTCAAAAGGCCAGAAACACAACTTCACTGACATGATAATGTCCTTCTGTGTCAAATTGTTTGCTAAGATACTATTAACACCTGAGCCATATGGCCTGACTTTGTATCTGCCAGGTTATTTTGGACAAAAATGTACACAATGTTGACCGATGTTTGTGGACAGATCTCCCGTTTTGAAACATCAGATGCTTTGTACGTCTTAAGGTCCAGTGTGTAACATTTAAGAAGCTCTAATGGCAAAAATATAATATGTATGTTTTTAATGGTGTATAATCACTTACATACAATATAGGAATTGTTATCGTATCAAATCGTTACATTAGAATGAGACGTTTACATCTACAGATGCCGCTGGTCGCCTTCCATGGAAGTTGCCATGTTGAACCACCATGTTTCCACAGTAGCCCAGAAGTGACAAACCAAACACTAGCTCTACTCACAAATAGCTCCCCACATTTCTTTCCATTTACTTTGCACTGTGCCATGCACTTTACTCCCCGCCTGGCATTTTGTTCTCAGGATTGTACCCCATTATATTCTGTTTAATTGAAGAGGGTTAAAAGCTCTCAGAAGCAAACAAGCTTACTACCTGCTTGCTAAGTGTCAGTTAGCTGTTGTAAACCCTGCTTTCAGTTTAACCTCCTCTGACATTCTGCAGCAGTCACAGTAAAATTGCTTTGCTATTGAATGCAAATGCAGTTTGCTTTATGCTATTTAATAAAACTACAAGGACATTTTCCTGAGATTATGTGCTATGACCGTTACTGCCACTGTATTTAAATGATGAGATGAAAAGCGAGGACATACTTGTCGTCCTGATTGTCTCTTTCTTTACAGCATGAACGATCAAGAATCCTGAAAGAAGTGTTGGAAGAGGGAATATGTGTGTGTATGTGATTGAGGGACAGAATTGCAGAGTAGCGATGCCTTAAAATGTTAGACCTGGTTCCCCATCGTTACTGTTGCTTTCATTTCAGTTTAGCCCTCCAGTTAAGGAAAGGTAACCTGACCCTCACCATGCACTTTATGACAACCTCAGCCGGCGGCTTAGAGGAGCAGACGTCTAGCAGACGCATGTGGCCCAGCCAGGGATGAGAGACGTATATGTAAGGGAGGACCGACGGCATGGGAACAATAGTGCCTCTGTGCCTCGGCACCCCTCTGGATCACATTTCCTCCGAGGTCCAGATCGAAATGAAGCTGGGGCCCTGTCGCTGATCTAGCAAGCGAGCAGAGAAAGCCACACAGAGGGGAGGGTGCCGTATGTCAATAGTGATTAGGATCACGATCACAACTGTGGCGGGTGTGGGGCACACAGAGAAGGGAGAAAGGGAGAAAAAGTGGGGATGAAGGGAAACATTTTGCCCTCCTGAACTTTATTGTCTGGTTGATGGTAGTGAGGAATGTCTCCTGGACTTGTTTAAAGATAACTAGTCCCTACGTGGATCATTTAAAAATAAAAGAAATTAGTTTTGATTTCTTTAGAAAGTCTTTGTGAAAGCTGAGCCTTTCATCTTTTCGTGATCTGTGGTTCAAGAGTGAAGAAAAGCAGAGAATTCATGTGTCAATAGTTTGCGTGTGATTGAAGTGACAAGAAGAGTAGAAGAAGTGTGCTCGTCCTGTCTGTTTTTTGTCAGACTCTAGGTACAAGAAGTCTTGAAGCACTGGTGGAAAAAAATGAAATATTTCCACACTTTGGACTCAAGTTCCCAGTCCTTTATTGGAATTTCTATGCCAACAAATTCTTTGTCAGGCAATTCTTAATGAAGATCCTGTTTGTTTAAAGTGTTTAAATTCAAAGCGCAGGATACATTTTCCCATTTGTGAACATATAAGTGATGCATGATGTTAAGTGATGAGGTGGTTCCATGAAATTGCACTGAAGTCATAATTTCCTTTGTGGTTTCACTTATTTCGACATTCAACAGTTGTTAGGTGGTGTTAATGTGAAGGTGGTGCTTAATGTCAGGAGGACGTCGTTTTGAATTTTGAATTTGAACAACTTGTAACCTCTATGAGCTATGTTTCAGCCTGACCTTTCAGCTGCCTTCGACAGAATGCTAACCTTTGGAAGTCAAAGTCGATCGAGGAGTACTTTGATTGAAGGATGGCCCAAAGACCCCAGAAGAAGTTGGATGCCTGGTGGAAGACAAAGAAAAAAAAAAGAAAAAAGTTATTACAGTTTTCAAAGCCTGTTGTTGTGATTGAAATGTTTCAAACATCTAGGCAGCCACTGGTTTTCTTTCATTTTGTTGTAATATGAAAATACTTCATGAGACCTCAAAGTTGCTTGGGGTAATCCATAACAGTGAACATCATGTCTGTTTTTATCGTTGTCAGAGTTTCATGGTAATGCAATAATTCTTTTTTTTTAAATCCTTGAAATAAAGCACAATAGAATGTATTTGTGTGTGGTTTATTAAAACTACAGCAGCAACCAGTGGTGGAAGAAGTATTCAGATCCTTTTCCAATTTGAGTCCAGCTCGACTTTTCAAGTGTGTAAGAGAAACTAAGCTGGTCACGACACTGCAAAAATGCACAAAGGCCTTATCTACAGCCAGTGTTTGGTTTGTCTGTTCTGGGCAGTGTTGGGCAAGTTACTTTTAAAAAGTAATTAGTTACAGTTACTAGTTACTTCTTCCAAAAAGTAACTAAATTAGTCACAGTTACAAATTATAATAGTAACTAGTTACTTTCAAGTCAATTTTTAAATGCTCAAATGTGACCCCACCTCCACCCCTCTTTAACGGAACTCAAAATACATGTATGATAAATCTGAATATTATAATGAAATGGACACTTAATAAAATAATGTACACAAGTCTAAACTATTTTAATGTTACATTTCATATGAGGTGCTTTCAATCTAACATAATAATAATAGCATAATGTGTATTTCACGATTACATTTGTTCGTTTAATTTCTTGGAGGGAAAAGTATTGGCTATACTTCCATTTAGAGAAGGCTACTTTTGGATTATTTGGGCTCACCATACCTGTCTCTTGTTGACTGACTCGCTTGTGTTGTAGGTTGTGTGTCCGACTATGCGTGCTTTCAAACACCCGCCCAACTCTACCTCTGATTGGCTTACCGTGAAATTTTACTCAACCTTGGCCAATCGTCAGCATTATGAGCTTGTCTTGAGCACTGCCCACTAAACAAGGAAGAACAGTTAAAAAAAGTATTTGCCTCTCGGCTCAGAGATCTAGTTGGTCTGATGAAAAAAACAGCTTCAATTATAGTAACGCGCCGCATTTTTTGGCAGTAACGGTAACAGCGTTATTAAGATGGGAAGAGTAATCAATTAGATTACTCGTTACTGAAAAAGTAATGATGTTAGTGCGCCTTATTTATAACGCCTTTATTCCCATCACTGGTTCTGGGCTACTGTAGAAACATGGTGGCTCGACATTGAAGAGGACTCACTTCCTCTGTAGATAACAACGGCTCATTCCAAGGTAACAAAACCACAACGATTCCTATTTTCAGGTGATTATTGACTGATGAAAACATAAAAAAAAATATTTAAATATTATATTACATTTCTCCTAAATGTTACACACTGGATTGGGTTTAGGTAAAAGTACTAATACCACACTGTGACACTATAAGTAAAAGTCCTGCATTTAAAATCGTACTTAACTTAACTTACTTCCTGTCAGTATTTTACTATTATATATATGATGTTTTTGAATGAATATTACTGCTGCATTAATGTGGATGTTGCATGTTACCGCTGTAGTTGTTTAAGATTGGATTAATTTGAACTGCTTTATATACTGTTGATTAGTTAAATCTACAGCAAACCATAATATTCTATAAGTACTGTAAAAAAAAAAAAAAAAAAAAAGAAAAAACTGTTTTCAACTTTGTGACAATGCATTTTCCAGCTATCCAAGAAGGTTTTAAATAATTTGAACTAGGGTCATTTTCTCAACCCATGAAGGAACACCTAATTAAAAATCACATTCAAAAATCACCAAATTTGAAGGTACGTGGTTTTTACTGGATAGGATGAAAAGTTGTCTGTAAGACAAATGTAGTGGAGTAAAAAGTACAATATTTGCCTCTGAGATGTGGTGGAGTATAAAGTATAAATACGCTTAAAATGGAAATACTCAAATAAAGTGCAAGTACCTCAGATTTGTTCTAAGGTACGGTACTGGAATAAATGTCCTTAGTTACACTCATCACTTGAAGTAACGTTAACAAATATAATGTGATGGACTTGCATGCTCAGTATAATACTTCATGTTGTTCTTAAAGGAATGGCAGCAAAAACGTGTGACTGACGTTATTATCATACGCCCTTTTGATGATCCAATTAAAGCTTCCAAAGCCCACTTCTTCATTCCGCCCCCTGCAGGAAGGTCACACTGGGGTCAGATGTCAGTGTCTTGCTTGAGAATGCTTCAGCAGTGCAAATACTTCCTGACAGAGACTGAATTGGATCCATATAATTGAATGACAGACTTCATTAACTACATGTAGCTTGTCCATGACACTCCTAAAGAAATGGAATATGAAAAGTGTAAAACACTGGATTATGTTTATGGTATTTGCACACTTGAAAATATGTGGTGCAGATTGTTCTAAACTAAATATCATAGGTGCTGTGTGGTTTCACCAACTCTGTTTTTCATTGATGTTTTGTTACATTTCAATGTGCCATTGAGCAGAACTGTAAAAACTCCCTTCAGTGACCTCCAGTTGTCGTGTTATAACTGCTCCCAGAACTGCTGCTGCTGCTGCCTGCCAATTGCAAGCTGCTCAGTCAGAATGACAAACCTCTGTATTGAATGGTTCCCTCCTTAATGGCTTTGCTCACTTAGGCTTGCGGACTTCCATGCCTCCATAAATTTCTGTTGTTCTCCACCCTTATTGTAAATCTTCATGGTAGGACCACTAATAGCAAGTCCAAATAAGATCCAGACAGGCCTCTGTTCTGCGGCCCAGTGATATAATCACATTTTTATTTGATAATCAAATAAAGGGTGGAATGAAATACTTGAAGAGCAATGTGCGGTTTTCCCTTGGCTTTTTTCCCCTCCCTGGCAGATTTTCATCTCTAATCTCTGTCTTTGGTTGGAGAGAGAGATTGAGCGTGTTTCCATTATGATTAATAACTGCTCTCCATTAAGAGAGCATTAGTATAACACTAAGCAGAGACCATCAGTGACAGGGAGCCATTGAGAAAAATGGAGATGAGAGATGTGTGGGAAGTGACATCACAGAGCCGCAGGCTTTAGCCTTGACATCACGGGGGATCCCTGTGGAGGAGAGGACAAGTCATAAAGACCCCACTGCGTCTTGGCACAGTTTGCCAGGGATAACGATTTGAAGGAGGCAGCTTCACGCTGCAGAGCTTTGGCAACTGGCCAGGCTTTGTCGATGCCACACAGCGGAGCCACACAGCTTCCTTTGGCACAGACTGGTTTCCTTGGTTCCTGAGTTTTGATTCTGTATTCTTATCTACTGAGACTTAACTATAGTGTGAATTCAATGCAGTTTGATTATTCCAAGCAATTACCGAGTGATAGGAAAGTGATACACAAGGATAAAATGGCGTTTAATCCAATTCATAATAATAGGAATACATAAAAAACCCAATCCCCAAAAATTAAAAGCCATCAGAGTGAAATGATCATTATTGCTGTTTTGGAAATTTTCCAAAGCCAGTTAACCAACTATCATCTGTTCTTACCAGATGTGAGCTGAAGCGGTTTTAAGTGCGACCAAGTGATATGTTGAAATCTCATCTCATTTTGGCCACATTGAGGCTAAATAAACAATTGTTTTCTTGATTAATAGTTTGATCTACAAAATGTCAGAAAATAGTGAAAACATCCCTTCACAATTTCCCAGAGCCCAAGAGGACGTCTTGAAATTTCTTGTTTTCTCAGACAAACTGTCCAAAACCCAAAGGCAATTGATTTACTCTCATAAAAATATAGCGAATATCACATTTGAGAAGCTGGAATGAGTACATTTTGGCTTTAAAAAATTACTTAATTATCATCATTTAAGAGAAAACAAATAATGGATATTTAATATTTTCTTTTTTCTCTGAACCTTTATGCTTTAAAGATAAAAGTTAATTAAGTGAAGTACTGTACAAAAACACAGTATTTAGTGGAAAAGTTTCAGCTCAATTTCTCCAATTTATGAAAGACATACCCTGTGATTTTCTCGATTAACATGCTCAGTATCCCTCATTTTGACACATGGCTGTCAAAATCAGTTGAGCTGGAAACTTGGCTTGTTAAGCGTCAGTGATCAATTTCTCCCACTTCCTTCGAGTCAAGAGTCCTCCTCGGTTTGTCATAGAAAATCTGATTTCAATCAACATGATGTTATCGCCTCTCTCACTCCATTTCAGGCTTTATTTCTTTTCCCTCCTCTCACTTATCCCTCTCTGTTTTTTGGCCAAGGCACAAGTTATTTTAAAAAGTAATATGCTTCCTCATCATTTCTGGGCTATTTCAAGAGACATTCACACCACCCCAAAATTGGTAGGACAATTCTGCATATTGTGTTGAGCTATGAAAGCACTTTTAGACAGATAGCCCAGCACCACTTGAGCCACCAAAGAATGAAAATTGTGGTCATAAGAAAAATAATTTTGGCTGCTGTCTTTCATTTTTCCCTGCGGCAGTTTCTAATCAACTCAGATGGAGTCCATCAAACTTTGAACAGTGGTGGGTCAGCTGTGGATCGGGTTTGGTTTTCTTTGGGGAGTTTTTTTTTTCCTTTTCTTTTTTCTGGGAGCTGGAAAAGTAAATTGTTAAAATGTGATGGTGAGGTGTTGCCGCCCTGTCATTTCAGAGGTCTGCACACATATGGATATTGTGGAAATGCACACACTAATCTCATAATATTGATATATTTGAGTCCCTCCAAGAGCAGAACTTAAAAAAAGGAAATAACTGTTGAGAGATTTGTCACTTTCTAAAGTCTTTCCAAAGTGCTGAGGCACTACAAAATGACATATTTCAACATTTCAACAAAGTCGGTGGGAGCAGACACTTACCAGTGAGAATTTGCAGACTTGAATGTAGAGCTGTGTAACTTCTGCCTCTGTAACAGTGACCTCACATCCTGAGTTGTGCTTGTAACTCTCCAGATAGGCTGTCAGCCAGTCCCTCTGCAGCTCCCGGCTCGGGTAGAGGCTGTAGTTAACATCATTCACACCTTGAAAACAAAACATGCACATACGCACGTGTTAGTCGAACTACTGTCAGTGTTAAAATTGAATACAATGCTTATACTGAGTGATAGTTTTGAAGATTTGCCATAGAGCTACATCAGCTTAACTCTTCAGTTAACACTTGTCAGTTCATGATAAATTCTTTCAATTATTTATCCCCATCAGTGAACATTAAGTTATAATATATATAATATATAATTTATAAAGAGGCACAGAAACTGGAGGCACCTTCCTGCCGTTTTAAATAATTTTTTTAAATAAATATAGTGCAGACAAAAAAGGAAACATTGTGTGGACACAATTGACAGCATGTCAGAAAATTGTGAAAAATAACCTTCCCAGTTTTGATATTACATATACTGTCAGTGGTTTACATAAGTACATTTACTAATGTACTTAAGTACAAATTTGAGGAATTAGTATCTCCATTTTATACCACTTTATACTTCTAATCTACTCTACCTTAGAAGGAAACATTGTACTTTTTACTACTTTAAAATCAAGAGTTTATATAGGAAACTTTAACATTAGTTTATATAATATGATTCATAGTTATAGATAAAACCCATCAACAGTATTTGATATAGTTCAAATGATCTCCACTCTAATACTCACAGGGGCCATTGTTCTGCATTAACTTTAATTAATGAATTTTTCATACTTAAAGTAGATTTGCATATATTTAATGCATAACTTAGACTTATAAGAGAGTATTTTTACAGTGTGGTATTAGCTTTACTTAAGTAAAGGCCCTGAATACCTCATCCACCGCTGTATACTGTGTATTTGATTGTACACAGTACCAGAAAGCAGAAGCATGGAGATGTTATGACTTGCTTCAGATGAAAATTGATTTGAAACTCTTTGTCAAATCTGCATGATGCAAATTAAGGAAAAGTAGATCCAGTTTTAATAATTGACTGCATTTTAGCTGTATCTATTAACAGGAGAATGTGAAATGAAACAGGGCTTTATATGTTGTCACTATTAAGCCTTAGCAATTTAACATATTTGTGCATGACATTAGACTCAAATCTAGCCACAGTTTGGCATCATGATAATTTCGGTTAAATCAAAATTGCACAACACAGCTATATATCAGACACCATTTCACTTACAATCATTTGGAGTTGGCAAGTGTTAACATGAAAGCTGACACAATATGGTTCCTCAATTGTAAAAGTGTTAAATTGATGATTTTTCCACAAATGTTCAAATTAACCCTGTCAAGCTTTGCTGTGACACAGCTGGCACATCAAGCCACTTCTTATCTCCACACTGATTACAACCATTTGTCTTGGCCGCTTCAGAAGAAGGACATAGTTTCATGGTATATAATGGCAGAAAGATAAATGATATAATAGTCAAAGAGACAGCACAAACTGGACAATGATTCTGCACATCACATACCGTATATACAACTCCTACTTCTCTCGATATTCCACATTAGGCAATCTTATATGTTCTGGCCGTGGAAAAGGTTTGGAAATTGAAAACTAGTTTTCATCACAACACATACCTACCAGCAAATTCATTGAAGTGATTGCCAATATCGAAGGCCTGGTAGTTGTAATCGGCGTATTCGTAGTCAATGAATTTAACCATTCCTGGTGGAGGAGGAGAGGGAAAGCAGCAGCAGTTACCAGGACAACATGACAAACACATCTTAGACTCTCCCTCCTTTTATTGAAAGTACAGAACCTTGTGAGAGTCAAAGGAACAAAGAGTCTCTTTTGACTGAGAGTCACCCTTGGCATCCTTGTAAAATATGTGAGAGAAATATAATCATAAAAAATAAATACTACAAATGAGGTAAGATAAAATGGAAACACATTTTCAGCAGTTCAAAGGTTTTCTTCTGTATGTTAAAGAAAGGGAAGCAGCATGAAGACTCTAGCTGCATTATTTCAAGCCGATGAAAAGAAAAACATTAATCTATTCCAACATTAGCTGCAGTAACAAACTCTTCAATCACAAGGCTGCAGTTAAAGAATTTAGCATAAGTCAGTCTTTTGGTTTTGTTGCTTCTGCTACATGTCCACGTAAAAATAATTCAAAACTAGCTTTAAGCATTATATCCAATAATGTTTTACAGTGTCAGTGATGTGCATGGCTGTTCCTCACCCTCTTCCTGGTTGTAGATTATGTTTTTTGTCAGAAGGTCGTTATGGCAGAGCACAATTGGTGAGTCAAGCTGTGAGAGGTGTCTTTTCAATGACTCCATTTCAGCTGACAAAGTCTCAAAGCTGGGAACCTCTCGTAGAGCCACAGTACTGTAAGAGGTAAAACCACTGAAATTACTTTTTTTTTCTTAATGGAGAAGGCAAGGTTGTCACTCCAACATTTGAGGAATGTTTCATTCATTTTAATGACTCTGATTCACAACTGTGCCAGGCAACTTGGCACATTGGCAGCCAAAGTTTAACACCCAAGAGTCGCTTAAGGTGATGTCAGTAAACTGCACACACCACAAAAACAATGAGTTTCAGTTTGGAAAACAGAGTCAGTCTAAGTGGGAACATTTGTCTTCATCACACACCATTTTTGCGATTTAGACTCAAAAGGCAGGTGTCATAAGGCAAAAATCCATTAAAGGGGTTAAATTAAAAGGCAGTTTGCACATTTAAACCCCTGCTTACTTACATCTCCAGCTTTAGTTTAACTGCAACCCTGATGGCTTAAGTGTGGGCTATAAAACAGTGAAAAAAAATACTCCATTACAAGTAAAAACACTGTATTCAAAATCTAACTAAGTACAGAAGTATTATCAACAGAGTGTGTGTCAAAAGTAAAAAAAAAGTTAAAGTACTTGTTTTGCAGACAAATGGCAGCTATGATTATTACATTGTTACTGATGCATTAAGTAGGAAGTAACATATTGCTGTTGTTTTTGGTCAAGCTGGAGCTAATTTTAACCTGTAACAGTATATCATATTTTATAAAAATGAGCATATGTTTTGTTAGTAGAAGTTCAAAGTAAATCAAAATATAAGTCCTCAAGTACAAGAAGAAACATTTTAGCACCGTATGAAGTGTGCCTCATTGTAAAGTGGTACTATTCTACTTTTTGCTAACTACTTCTTCAAATGTTCTTTTAAGGAATCAATTAACCCAAAATCTCCCGTTACACATGGTGACTCACCTTCCTTTGAGAATTGTTCACCCAAAAAGAATTTGATTTGCCTGGATTTCAGCAGAGTTAGTGTCCTGTTGTTCACAGTAAATGCCGTTTCAGAGGCAAAATGAAAAACTCTGACTCCTTGCTGTTCTTTCAAAGGATAATGTTTGAAATTAAAAATCCTGGATTTGATCATAAAAACTATGCTGCTTACACAAGTCTTAAAATCAAAAAATTCCATGAGTTGATAATGGGTGTTTTGGACATTTGACAAAAATAGTATTATATAAAGATTGTGCGTGGGAGCAAAAGGGACACAAATCTGAACTAAACTTGTACAAATGAAGGGAAAACAAGATTTGTATGGCACATTTGTCGGAGGGGGCAAGAAAGTTTGCTGAAAGAATGCAGATATGGAAGACAAACTTTGTCATGAACTCCACACTTTTCTTCTAGGAGCAACATGTTTGTAAACTGAAGCTGTTCCTCGCTGAGAGGTTACATGCCTTGTTTTTCACTCTGTTGATTACTCCATCTATCAAAGAAGGCACTAATGTCCTGGACGTCAGTGCAAAATGCACCTGGAATAAATGCTGCGCAAGCAACCGTCTCCTAATTAATTTTCGTGTTTCCTTTTCAGTCGTCAGGCCATGATAAGAGGGTAATTTAAACAGTATAATTTAAATACCTATTTATTCAAAGGGGAACAAACAGATGCTCAGGTATTATACACACTTGCAGACATTATTTAGTGAGGCCTGTTAGGAACGCACAATAAAAGCAGAGGAGCAGAGCCTTGTTTACAGAGGCTCTGCTGCTTTCTAAAAGTCCTCCTACAAATCCTCGTCAATAAAACTCATTTTTGTATATTATCTTCAAGGAAGGGTTGACTGAATAAAAGCACGCTGAGACCTAAACTATCCATCTGTGTACCTGCAAGCAAGTATGCAAATATATACATATATTCTTTTTAAAATAGCTCTTTCCTGCTTAAGTTTGGGCCTTTTGTTATATTTTACTTACAAAAATTGCAGGCCTAGAATATATCTGTCAGAGTGTTTGATTCACATCTACTTGTCTAAGAAATCTTTCTGTTATTTAAAATCGGCCCCCTCTGACATGCATAATTTATCTATCTCCTCTCTAATGTGAATTAAAACACCAGTTCAATGGTGAATCACCCTGATTCCTTTTCTACCCATCCATTTCTATAACTTAACAAACTGACTTTATCATAGAAACCCACGATTACTCAGAGTCAAAAGCTAAATGAAAGACTTCCATTGACTTTAAATGGAAACCTGTCGTCTTGCCATCAGATCTTTTCCTCTCTCTTTTCTTCTCATGAGAAACAGTATGTCAAGTACATTCGCCTCCTGCTCCTTGTTAAGTCTCTGTAAGGTAATTAGTGGAATTTCCTCCTCTGGCGCTTCATTATCAATGTGCCTTATTTACATATGATTTCAAACACCAGCCGAGCACTGCTGATTTTTTTCTCGTTTTTTTTTCTTTTTGCAGTTTATGCGAATCATGGGAGTAGCAGGGGGCCTTTTGGGGAAGAAAACGTTGCACTCTGGCTTTCCATTGCTCTTCTCTCTTCTCTTTTCTCTCCCATCTCTGACTTCTATGTGCACTCTCTCTCCGAACCTTGCAGCTGCAGCAGCCTCTTTCGCTCTCTCTCTCTTCTTCTCTGTATCTGTATCTCTCTCTTTGCACAGCGGGTGGCTTGAGAGCTGAAGACCTCCTCTGCAGGTGCAGCCTCTTCCTGCTCTCTCTCTGCCTTTCTTTTACCATTTCCTCTGAAGATCACATTCATACCAGCACTCATACTAGCACTCATACATTCTCAAGTACAAAAGTTTATCTGATGCCTGTTTAAAATCCCTTTTGCCTTTTTTAAATTCTTGGTCTTCTCTATCTCTGCTTCTGTGTGTGTGAGTGTGTGTCACACATACACTCAAGAGACCAGTGAATATGCAAACAGACACCATTGACATGGTTTATCATAGACATACATTTTAATCATAAATTAACCTCTTAAATCTCTTATATCTCAAATCTCCTAAATTATGCTGTAGCATTCCTTCCATCACTTCATCATACTTTTCTAACACTCTTTATTATTATATGCAAACTATTGATATTTTCCTAAACATTTTGAGCTGTTCTGTTTTTGAGCAGCAGTTGAAGGTGTCAAGCTCCTCAGTCACACAAATGTCTCACAATATAGCACCATCTATTGGGAGTCTAAATGTGGTGCAGTCTCCTTCTGTAGACTGCTGTGTGTTATATCCTCATTTATCCATACACTTATCCCTTTTGGTATCACATTAGCACAAAATAGCACATTGTACAAATTAGGAGTTGTATAACAAAATGTGATACTCATCCGATCTGTCTAAAAGGTTAAGTGGAAAAATAGGGTTAAACATAAAAGTAGACGTTAATCCAGTCAAAATCCTTGGTTAATAAAATACAACTCGTTGATCAATGGATCTCAAATAATAGTCCCCTACTTATCTGCGCTCCATTTCACTCTATGTGCATTACCTTTCATTGTATCATTGTATGTTGGATGAAATAAATGTTCACTTAACTGTTGGAGGTGAAATTAAAAGTGTCAAATTCAAAGATTAGACTAAATCAATATTTCTTTCAGCTCAGTGGAGGTACTTCAGTGTTGTTTTAATGCATTCTAGGTGGCCATATTTACTAAATGGATGTCTGTCTATTTAATTATGTTTGTGAGCCCACAATGTTATGCTATGTATCATTACATTCACAGGTCTTTATGAAATACTAAACTTGCATTTCGAAACCAGACACTGGCTATAGATTAGGTTTTTATTTCTCATTTTCAGGTGATTATACACTTTGTTACACACTGGACCTATAACTGACATATTATGTTAAAACTGTAAATTTCAAATAAGTAGCCCTGTTAAAATAATAATATCCTCAATGTCACCATGTGTAAAGGGCCAATTTAGGTTAATTGATTTCTTAGCAAAGTTCAACAGCAAAAACATAATGTTACCACTTTACAATGAGGCACACTGTTTGTCTCTTCTTTAACTAGCTTGTTAATAATTAAGAAGGACTCCTTCCATGTTGCATTTCTTAAAACTATCCATGCCCAGTGGTGGTGTCATTATCACATACACTAAACATATTGTTTTATAACATGCATTTAGAAAAAAAAATGAATTAGTTTCTTATAATAGAAATGTGTAGACTGTTAAATGAAGGATATATTTTAAACACCAAGACACTTCCAAAATAACTAACAAGTGAAAAAAAGGAAAGAAAATAGTAGATTGGGCTGACTGATAGAAGTGCCCTAAAAAGGATTTTTTTTATAGCCGCCGAACCAGAAAATACAAGACTTCGAATAAGAATAGTTGCCTGTGTCTTGTCTTCCTGATGACAAAGAGGAGAAGTCACACTTGTTTTCTCCTACATCTGAATGCAGGAAGCTAAAACGTCTTATCATAAAAGACTGCCTCCTTCACAGTCTCTTTCTTTAATGGATGACTGACTCCAGTGCCAAATGCCTTTGCCCACATGATAAAACACAAAGAAAAAACTCAAGTTGTTCAAAAGCAACTGAGAGACTCTGGGTTTTCCAGCTTTAGTTTGTGTGGACTTCCGACCCCTTCGTAGCAAACATAAACAAGGTTGAACGTTTGACCGATAAGGGAGAGCTCTGCAGGAAGCTTGCGGCCGAGCTCTGTTTCTCTGTAGTGTCTGGAAGCCCCCTCTCACCTCTCACCCCATGACCCCTGTCAGAGATAACGCAATGTCATTGCCACAGAGGCCACTCCCCCACCTCCTCCCTCTGACCAATGACAGCTCACACCGATGGACTCTAGCTACATGCTGAGGGAGGTGAGCGTGCCAATGCCATTCAAGCGCTGACTATTCACTGTGGGCAGGTTTGAGAAATGTACATTTGACACGTGGGAAAATGATAAGGCATCAGTGGAAGTGCTGCTGCCTAAAAGATAAAGATGTGGAAAATGTTGCTGGTTTCAATCAAAGGGATGAATGCAAAAATCTACCACTGAGGTAGCGTCCCAGCACCAGCTCAATGTGTAGTAGTAGTAATTTTCAGTGTAGCTCAGTGTTTCTTAAACTTTTTACACATTATATTACCTCAGAAAATATGAGGCTCTCCAAGTACCACCATTATGAGCAATGTTAAAATGCAGTAATGTGGGCCAACCATAATCCGCCACAGACAGTCCACACAGCAGGCAGGTTTATCGCTAATGAGAAGATTGTTTATTGTTGACTGATGTTGAATCCTACATGGAACCGGATCAAGAACCAGAGCTAATATGGTGGAAAAGAAGTACTCCTGCACTTCTGTTCCTAGAAGTTCCCATTTGGAGCCATGGTGGCAGTGTTGTTGGACTGTTCACTTACCTCCACTGACTGTTACGCTCAACTAAACATTCCTTGGCCAAGATAACACCGGTTTGCCGACTGTGCACAACAAGTCACTGACAAATTGATTCTCCAGACTTGAGTAATGCGTGTTACATACTCTATGACCCTTTGCTGCTGCTCAAAGGATAAATGTGAAAAGCTGTGGTTGCATTATAAATAAACACATTTTCAGAAAGTAAATATGTTCAGATGACTACTGTATATCTAAAACACATTTTGTCAAAATGTTGTACCTTTTTGTGCACCGCTGCTCAGCCGCGCTGCTGTTGATGCTGCTTTGCACCAGTGTGAGAAAGTGGGACATTTTTGTCCAGAGTAGAGGCTCAACATGCAGACCACGATTTGGCTGGATAGAGTGGATTCTCCCCATCTCTGCTGCGATCAATCTGTGGAGAGAAAACATTTTCTTAGATGAGCCTTGCTGAAACTGTTATTGCAGCCATCAGCAGAATAGAAACACAACTCCCTTTCCATTTACTCTTATCTAGTTCTTCTTTTCAAAAAATGGACAGTGTTGCATTCGTGACCTTTTGACTACTTGAGTGCTGATTCTCTCGGCTTCTTAGTGGTGACATAAAGTTTTCTGGGTATTCCCCACAGAGGGTATCAGGCAGAGCAAGGTGATTAATGTGTATTGTGGCCCTGGCTGTGTAGCCCTGGCTGGCTGTGTTGTGTCCTACTGCCCTGTCGAGAGAATAATGATGCTAGCCTGTTATCATGAGGAGGATGAATGACAAAGGGGGCACGACTAAACAATATTGCTCAACATGAAACATGACTCAACAGAAATAATAAAAAAATCATCTGCCTCAGCACTATCGAAATGCTCAACATAAATACACACACACACACACACACACACACACACACACACACACACACACACACACACACACACACACACACACACAACCTGTTGAATTCATACAGTGTGACCACTGAATAGAACTGAAAATATCAGCATCATTTCGCTATTTTTATATTTTCTATGACACTGATGTATGCTACTTACATTTAGCCTGTGGTAACTGATATCACCACGGACGAGTTTGTAGGATTAAGTGGCTTTATGAAACTAGTGGTGCACTAAACCTTCCCCTTCCGAACATGTAGAACAAACTACGGTGGCCACAAAACCCCACAAAAAACAAGAAAGGCCTTGTCTAGAGCCAGTGTTTGGTTGTCCGTTCTGGGCTACTGTAGAAACATGTCACCTCAACATGGTGGACTCCATAGAAGAGCTCCTTCAGTGGATTAAAATGGCTCATTCTAAGGTAACGAAAACACAACAATTATTAATTTCAGGTGATTATACACTATATTACACACTGGACATTAAACTTATATATATTTTGACGTATAAAATTGTCATTTCAAATAAGTAGCCCTGTTAAAATAATAAATTACACAATGCTACATTATTACATTCACAGGTCATACACTAAACATAGTGTTTTATAACGTGCATTTGGAAAATATTAGTTTCTTTATACAGCAAGACATTTCTGAATAAATAAGCTTTTTAAACTGTATTAAATGTTAGTGAATGTTCAAATGTGTTTTTTTTTCTGTCAATCAATCCGAGTTTTATGATATGTCATAAAAAAATAAATGCATTCAACGTCTAATTATTTGGACAACTACAGTAAAAAAACTGTAATTTTCAGGCAAACTTTGCGGCTAAGTCTCAGTTTTTGAAAAAGTTTGAAAGCTGTTCTGGCAGAGACCTGTAGATGGAGGGCTGCCGGAGCAGCTCATCATCTAGAACTGTTCCCCGAACAAACTCGTAGCAGATGCCATTTTGGAAGCTGCAGTAGATCTGTGGACCACACCCGTGGGCATGGAAGACCTGGAACATTTCCACCTCCCGCTCCCTGTTCACGTAGAGTTCTGTCATTCTGCCATACAGTCGCACCAGAACACAACCAGGTTCCTGGAGAGAGCCAACGTAGCAGCCAATCAGCTGGTTGGTGATGCCCTCTGTGAATCTCTGATATGAAATTAAATCAAAAGGGAAATTAACTCAAAAAAAAAGTACAGCTTGGACTTTTCAGGTAAAACAAAGCAGACACACTGTCAGTTAATTACAGTGAATTTTCACTGTAAGTGACGTACGGTGTTCAACATCTCAGTCCATAGTGCTGATTTTTTAAGAACCTAATTTGGTGCATATGTGTAACTTTACAGATTACAACTGTGACTGTGTTCTTGTAAAAGAAGCAGACATTTCTTTATAACAGCATTTATGATATTACTGACATGTGGACAATATAATAACAGCGTGCTCTAGCCTTTGTAAAGCCACAAATTGCTCCCAATGCTGTGCAACCGATGTGTGAGTGTGTGTGAAGAGTACTACTCAATACTGCAAGTAAAAGTCCCACTTGTGAAGGTAGAAAGTGTAGGTAATTTTTGTAATAATAATAATTATAATAATATATTTATAATAGAATTAATTCAATTCTCTGCCAGATGTACTCTGCTGTTTGCACTGTTTAATGGGAAAGTGGAGGCTACAGGGTACATACTGTGTGGGAGGTGAGTGTTCAATACAGTCTCAACAATGTTTTGCTCCAGCAGCCACCTAACAGGTAAATCTGGCCATAATAATGTGACAGGCAATTAACAAAAAAGTAAACTGTAATCAAGACAAAAACCCAGATTTATGTGGCTTAATGTCAAGATATCATCTGATGTGAAAAGCGCAAAAGAAAGGAAAAAATAAGATTTATTTTGTTCTCTGTTAAATTTTTGGTGTCAAATTTAACAAATTAATTTATGTAATTTAAAAAAAGAACATGTTAAAAATAGTAATAATAATTTAATGATCTGTTATGGCCACAATTTAGGCAATCTCTTTTTCAATGAAAAAATAAACAATTTATTGATTTCTAATCTACTTTTAGATATTTATATTCAAGGTTTTACTAATGTGCCACAATACTGTTTTTGAGTTCAAATATAGGAATTAGGGGGCTTTTCCAAGCAAATGTTGATATATGTGATTGCTTTCAATTAAATCAGCATTTATTTCTGCCACCCCTTAATGACTCAACCTTTTTGCCACTGCATATTTTTCTAGATCTTCCCCTGGTATTCAGAAAAAACACAAAAGTAGCAGGTATATACAGCACATGAAACAGTAGGTACATACAGATATGTTAAAGATGTACAGCTGTAGAGAGCTAAAGCCTGAACATGTTGATGTTAAAGATCACACGTGCAGCACACCCTGTACTGCTCTGGTTGTGTACACAACAATACCACAGTGACCACTGTTTGCCTGCAAAGGCCTCATCGGACATTTGTTGTCATTCAGTGGTTTCTCAAAGTCTTTCATTCTCTGTTACAGTCCCCAAAGCACTTTCTGAGCCTCAGATGGGCCCACATTTTTTATCTATCTAGATGGAAAGTGAACAAACATGCCCACCTTGACATCTAATCAAGTATTTATACAGTGGATGGAGGGAAAGGATATTTTTATACTGGCTTTGACATTGTTATCAAACCCCTTTTGTCTCTGATTTGCATATATTATTATTTGATATAATTCATTAATTGTCATTTCAAAACTTACTATTTAGAACACTTCCTAAACTTTCTGAACACATAATGCTAAACTGCTTTTATACAAAGCATGCTAAAACATAAAAAAATATAAAAGATATAAAATCATGCAAAATACTGCACATGCATTTGTATTTTTACCGTTCCAGCTTTTCTCTTAAAGGTCCAGTGTGTAGGATTTAGTGACATCTAGCAGTGTAGTTGCAGGTTACAACTCCCTCACTTCACCCTTCCCTACCAAGTGCAAATTAGTAGTGGCTGTGAAAGTGACAGCCCAATCTAGAACCAGTGTTTGGTTTGTCTGTGCTGGACTACTGTAAAAACATGGTGGTTCAACATGGCAGCCTCCACATAAGGTGACTCATGGTGTCTGTTGATAAAAAAAAAGCTCATTCTAAGGTAACAAAACACAGCAATTCTTATTTTCAGGTGATTATACACTAATGAAAACATACCTATGAATATTATATTCCATTTCTGCCAGTATATCCTCCTAAATGTTACTGGATCTGTAATCTATAATATATTTTCTTTTTAGTCTCTTTGTAATAATTTAAGTTCTTTTAGGTGAAGAGCTTTGAAATAGTCTCTGCCAAGTGCTTTTGTTTTTAATTAATTGTAAAGTTAATGTGTAGGCACTGAAATTGCCTCAACTTGCATCACTTTGAGTTTGATCTATTTTTTAATTTGTCTGTCACCAAAGAGAGTAAAACAGATACAAAGATAAAATACAAGATACAGAAAGTAATTTGAAATAAGAACTCTCACATACAGTGCAGTTAAAAGCACAGGTGTAACAGTAGTAACGAATTGTCTTTCAGTGCAGTCTGTCTACTGAACACAATACATCATTAAAGGGAGTGATCTGAGGGCTGAACGCAAACATCTACTCCTTTGTGTACATTACTGGACCTGGTGTAGATGGAGAGGTCACCCACCCAATGTGCTGTCACCTAACAAACATAAACCCAATTTCTCTGAAAGATTGGACCTTGTGTTTGCACATGGGACCAGAATGGTATTTCTCTGTTCTGACAACATTATTCATCTCTTCCCAGGGTTAAAAAAAAATAAAATAGACTTTTGTTGTCCACTTACCTTGGCTTTTCTGCTGGTTTTATTTGTTTAAGGTGTCTTTCTGTATAGTCCAGTGTTTTTTTTCTCCAACCCCCAACTCTAAAACAATGTTATATTTTATCATCTTATGTGCTTTTGATTTGGCTTTTCCATATATTGATTTAATTTTGAAAAAATTGAAAACATGTACTGTAAGTAATATCTGTAAATGTTAAAATATGTATGTATATATAATATATTTTGATTTAAAACTAACTCTTTAGCAGAAACTGTGAACACAAGTCAGTCATCATAATTCATCATCTTACAGCCCCTTTTTTAATTTTTTAGCTCCTCCCAAAAAACTTGTATACCTACACTTTTACTACAAATGTATTATGCATTTGCATTAGTGGAGTTTGGAGGTTTGTCTAGCTTTCCCATTCCCATCCAAAAATCCATCTTGCCAGGCTTCAAGCTACACACTTCTGTCGGAACTACAGTGGTAACATGCCAATCAGCATCCTATGAGGAACTACTGGTAGCTACAGCATTCAATAATAACATTAGCAGCTGCATAAGAGGTTAGCGTAGATGTTGCTAGCATCAGTTATACCAGAACTTGAGAGTATTGTTTGATGGAAGAGAAAAAGAAGAGCAAGCACTTGCACCGAAGGCTTTTCTTGAAGGAAAAGATGTTTTCTCTCTTCTCCCAACTGACTTCGGTAAGAGTTTGACTACATTATATGGTTAATTGATCGAATTGGTTGAAGTTAGATGGTGATGGACAGATGGTTCATCCAATCACCTGCCAACTGTTTGTTTGAAAGTGCCTTCCCTTTTCCAAATAGTTTCCGACGACAACTTCCCAGACGGATCTGTGTAACAAACCATCTGGCACAGTCATGTTACTTAACTCTGACCCGACTGACTTTCTCTTTACATAAAGGTGCCAACAGCAGTGTAATAAATGGTGAGCACAGGATCCACATCGAAATGTATCTGCTTCAGACAACCATCCTATAGTAAAATCAATGTAGAGATGCAATCATGGTAAATGTTCTTGCTCAGGACACTTTGACATGCAGCGGGAGGAACCAGGGATCAAACCGCCAACCTTTTGCTTGGTGGATGACCTGCTCTACCTCTTGAGCCACAGCTGCCCAGCATGGACAACTGACTCTGTATATTGAGATGTAATGCTGTTTTATGTGGATAGTAATTACCCCAGAGACACAAACATCCACTTGCCTTCATCTGAATGTCCTGTGCTTTCCAATGAGGACGAAGTCTTCTCAGGATGTCCAGGATTCCACAACGAGGTTCCAGCTGATCAATATGGATGTCTACATGGAGAAGCTGATTCCGAGCACCACCAGGCCCACTGTCCATTTTTAACAAAGCAGATCTGAAGTACTTTTTGAGAATTTAGATCTCAGAAGAGATTTTACCTTGAAAAATATTGAGGTCCAGAATTTGTTCAGAAACATTCAGACTAAAGTCCTACTGTGTTCTAAGACCAGCTGAGATCCAGACCCAACAGTTCATCGAAACATCATCCAAACAAACTTAAAAGGGGAAGACATAAGAGACAGAGGTCTACGATCTGCTCTGTCAGAGCAATTCAAGAACCATCAGTGCTATCTGGAGGTCACTGCAATTGTTCACTTGTGTGTCCAGTGACTCAGCAGCCTACCTTGCTTATCAGGGGCCAATGTTCCTATGGGCATCTTCATCCCCACTGTTGCAGAGTTTACATATTAACCACGGGTTTGAGCCCTGCTACAGGCACCTGTAGTGTTAAACAGAATTCAATGAGAAAACATTTTGATTTGATTTTGATTTTGAAGCTCTGTAATGAAGCATGATGATTAAAGTTTTGCTTCATTAAACCAGACCATATTTTACTTCTAACTAGTTATACATTTAACCATAACCATAAATTAAGTAACCTAAAAAAAATTTACTTGAAATTACTACTTAAATAAAACATTTTTTTTAAGTTTTAAGTGTTCAATGAATTGCAACACAGACCTAAATATCTGCATTTAATTAATTTTTCATTAGTAGAACCACTCAGATGTCAGTCTGTGCTATCAGCCACAAAGATGTGACACTCGCACTGCATATTTTCTCTCGTGAGACTGAGCTCTCTTTGCTGTCAGTTTCAGCACAGCTCTCTGATACCTGATGCCACACCACGCTGCTCTAACATTAAAACTGAGCAGGCTGCAAACGTCACTGCAGCAAGTCCCAATGCAGAAATTAGGTTACAGTTTACTTTGTTGAAGATCATTTAAGCTAAAAAGTAGGCATGCGACAAAAATCAACCCAATATGATGACTTATGATTCTCCAAATAATTTTCAGATGCATTACATTTGGCCTGTGTGCAGCAGCAAAGACTTTAAATGTCTATTGTCTAACCCAAGTCATCTTGTGATCTAGAGGACCCATTTAAATATCATACAATTAGTTCAGTCAAACATGACCTTTCATGCTAGTTCAATGCCATGGAACATTTCAACATGATCACTGTGTAAACACAAAACGAATTTCATAAACATTGGAGCAGCATGTTTTCAGTCTGTTAAATTATTTAGATGTTGGGCCAATGTTTACCATTTTGCATCATTACAGTAATTGCCTAGAAGTCACGAATGTGGTGATCATCTTGAACCGAATACTTTTGCAAGCTTTTAGACGCAAATGAAATTCACTTGCCATCAAAGAGCGTCTCATCATCAAAGATGTTGTGTATTGAAAGAGAGATGAGTGTCTCGATTAAAAATGTAAGGGTCAGGCAGTAGAATAGAGTAGTATAGAGTAGCAGAGTCAGTGTTTGTGTTACTGCATGTAACTCTCAAGTACAGCTGAACAAGAGGGCTGGTTGAAGAAGAGATGACACACACAATAACCCATGCATTCACAAATATACTGTTATGACACATCTCAGACAGATTCACTTACTGTATGTCTGGCTTCTCTTTTTTCATGTTGCTCATGATTGTTAATATGCAGACATTAACATTTGGGCCTTTGAGCCTTGAAAATTAATCATTTATGAAAGGATCAACAAAGTACCAGTTGTGTTGAGGGCAGCATGAAAGAGTAACAAAACTGAGTTAATATTGCTGGAGTTTCTCTTGACTGCTTGACATTGCCTGGATTATGGGTATTTTTCACTGTAGTCATTTAAGCAATAGAACCAGCTATTCAACAAAATGTGGAAATAAAATGAGAGGAAGGAGAATAGTAGAGGAGAGGATCACAACATTTAATAATCAGCTTTTCTTTCTTATGGAAACTGCTACAAACATTTCCAAGATTTCTGGATAAAGGATCAACTGGCACAAATAGTAATTCAAATGGTCACAACTTTCCATTTTTAAAGGATAAGGCTGGTGATATTCTGTATTTTATTCAACAAATCAACAAAAAAAAAATATTTTTGACTTTCCTACCCAGTCTGTGGCTATCAGCCCCAAGCCATTTGTTCAGAAAAAGACTGAATACAAATATAGTTTCATTTTTGAAAAGGTTTTTCCACTGATTAAGAGTCTGTTTCTCCAGTTCATTCAGAGTACTCAATTATTTAAGGGTAAACTCTTCAAGTGACCCTTCATAAAGAATTGTCAGATTGTTAACATTAGTTTAATACTAATACTACTTTAATATTTGGATGAGATGCCAATGAATATAGAATCTGTACACATGGCCAACTGAAAAAATAAAAAAGTACAAAAATTATTATTATTATTTATTATTATAATTATTATTATTATTATCACTATTATACTTGCATTCCAGATGTTTACAAAATGGCAAAAATAGGGGATTTTATCTACCACTTAGAGAAAATTTTCACTTCATCACACTTGATCAACTTGTTGTGTCTCGTCAAGTTTGTTAAGTTTAGTCATGTTAAGTGTTTCATGTTTAGTCCTTCCTGTTTTATTTTGTACTCATCTTTTCCTTCACTATTCAAATCCTGACTTCCTCCCTTTGTGTGATTTTCCCGCCTTTGTAATTGTCTGCCCCGCCCCTGATTGCTTTTACCTGTTCTCACTTACACATGATATAAATAGTCCTTGTCTCCCTTTGTCACTTCATCTTGTTCAGTAAGTCAGTGAGTATTGTCAAGTGTTGTAGTTCAGAGTCCAGGTTATTTCATGTGTCAATTGAAGTTTGACTTTTTGTTTGCGTTTTTTTGATATCCTCCTTGAGAGCGACTTGTTTGCATTTTGATATCCTCCTAGAGAGTGCCTTTTGTTTAATAAATATGTTTTTTTCCTGCAACTTCGTCTGTGCCAGAGTCGTGCATTTGGGTCCACCAATATTGTGTCAGAGGTCGTGACACAACTGTCTTAACAATTTCAAATGAATTTGTCCTTCACAGTGCAACACTTTATGCAATACAAAATACCTGGCTTCTTTCTTCTCCGGGCTTCCTGCTGTCTTTCAAAAGTTTTTGAAAAGAGAAAATTCCCTTTTATTACAAGGCAAACAGTTGTTGGTGTCCTTTATCAAACAGCTCTTTGAAGAGAAAAAGAGAGAGCTATGCAGACATTTAACCTTTTTATATAGTCTTACAATTGGGGCTGTCAAGGCCTTTCATTTGTGAAGTTCCTGTGGAAAAATCAGGGAGCTTGGACTCATTACATCTACCGGTACAGTATATTTATATTTCAGCTCCAATCAAAGCTAGCCAATATGCCATCCCTATGTATTTTCTCCTCTGAGCCCTGCCTCCCCACTATAATTTCCACCGACATTTTGTGTGCAAATGCAGTAATAGACACATTTATCACATCAAAAGGGATTCAATTTTCTTTTCAATCATCCACCGGTATGAATAGCGCCACATCCTCTGTGGCCAACAATGAGGGGCCATTACCGTGAGCCAAAGGATGGCTTCGCCTTCTCTATGCATTCAAGGGGAAAGTGTGTCAAACTGTTTGCCAACGTTTGTTCTAGGCAAATGGAGACTGCTTTCAGACAGGTTAGTATCCAATTTTATTGTCAGACAAATGTCATTTTTGTTTGGGGCCGCGGTAATCATTGGGCTCAGACACCGGTGTTCCTCGACAGTAAAGCCAGCAGTTAGTCCATTTAATACTCTAACTCTCATGTCAGTAGCAGATTGCCAAGTCCAGACATGACACCCGCTGTCTCTTCATTATGTGAAGAGGGTGACATGCAGGATTCAGGCCTCAGCCCTTAGGGAGACGGTGGGAGGCTAATTGCCAAAGACATTGTTGATCTACACGAGGAAAGAAAATACTTTGCAACTGCAATTAATTGTTCCCTTGCGCTGACAGATCAGAGATGTGGATGGGATATTTTCTGTCAGATTTTCTTTGCGGTGACGTGTCGCATGTCATGGCTTGGAGTAGCTGGAGGAGTGTTGTACTTGCAGTTACTGTACGTCATTTAACTGATGTTTACTGCTGTAGGTTTGTGAACTGAAAATCACTTCAGTCACTACTGCACAATAATACTACCAGTTGAGGGAGTTTTACTCCGAATTAATAATACCAAAATTAAACTTACAAATACATAGTTTTAATTTTGACAAATAGGTTCTGGGTTTTATATATATATATATATATATATATATATATAATAAATACAACATATATCAGACAGGTATAAATGAATCAAGTCCTGTACTTGTTTCCATCGTTGTCTCTGTTTATGTTGGCCAGAAATATGACAGGTACTCATTTAATGTTTGACATTAAGAAATGTCAGAAAATAGGAACTTATAAGACAAAACTAAATCAGAGGGTGTAATTGTAACTCACAGATTTATAAAATATATAAACTTTTAAGCAGGATGAGGAGTTTTTCCATCAGCTAACTAATTAGGTTTAAAATTGTTTAATCACTACTTTTTTGCCTTTAGTTGAATTCTGTGTTTTCTAATTAGTTTTAGTAAAAAATAAGCAAAAAAAAACCCTAAACATTTTAAGACTTATCAAAAGAGGCAAGTGTCATTAATGCGGAACAGTAAAATAAGTCATCCCCTGCAATATAAGTAAAGATTATGATATTTATATTTTTCATATTATTATACTCTGGATTGTGTATTTTGGACACACTGGACAAAAAAAGTTGAGGATGTGCATCTTTTTCCTAACTACTGTCACTCTGTACAAAATTGCTTATTGCAATAAACAAGTGAATAGTCTCGGATTTTTGCAGGATTTAGAACCCTAAATGCTTCTGAAGCATTGTTGACTTAATTCTATCAAACAAAGCATTTAAGGATGAGACTGTTGCCAGTATCGACAACACGCTCCTTTTGCAGAAAACGTCTCTGCTGAGTTTTCTGTCATCTCCTGCCACAGCTTATACACGCTACCTCATTGCCAAACCACCCGAGCCACAGCTGATGAGGTCATCCATGTAGCCAGCACCGGACGGGCCCTCAAAGCCCCGCTTAATCTGATATCATTGGCAGGGAGACGCTTAACCAGCTCCATCTCTCACCACACTATTTTAGGGCGTTCACCATCCAACAATGCTGTCTTGTCTTAGTCTGCATGGATTCTTAGGGCCCACTCGTAAAGTTAAATTGTACTCAATTTATATGTTTGAAGTCTATGGAGAGCTTGTGCTTGTGATACTGTTTGCAAGGAGCAGTGCTGGCGGTTGGGACAGAGTTTATTGAGCGTGGCAGCACGGTGGTAACGCTGAAACGATCTAGAAATGAAGAATGAGCCGCGAAACCATGTCAGCACATGAGGCGAGGTAGCCTATTTAACTTTTAATGTTAAGTAGAGTGTGTTCTAGTTGTGGTCTGGCTACCGAATTGTGTTGGAAATTGGGGAAATGAACAATAATTCTCTGGACTAAGACCCTGTAAACTGGAAAAAAAAAAAAACATTTCTTATTAATGACATATTGAAAATAATAAATAATGCAGTGTAAAGATGGTATGCAGTGATTTATTTGACTGCCTCATGTATTTTCAGGGGCCAAAATGAGCAAAAGCAGCTGCGGATAATATTTAAAATACATTATAGCTATAAGTATCCAGTCACATATGTTCATGTTCTGTCTTTCTCCATTAAATATGTATTGCAAGAGCTTGGGCCTCTGACCTTGGCTTGGGAGAGAGCTCGCATCATTTCATCTTGAAATAAAACGAGAGACTGCCAGCAATTATAGCATGTTAATTACATATTCACTTTCATCTGCTTGAAAAACACACAGATCTGCCCTCAATGCTGCTGTTGGGTCTCTTTTGATGGGGGGAAGAAAGCGCTGTACTGTATTTGAAAAACATCTGTCAAGTGCCCTGTCTAGTTAATATCTACTAGTCATTACCTGTTTTGGTTACAAGTGCTGCTCTTGTCTAATCTTGAAGCTTGAAGTTGGTAAGACATACCTGAAGAAAGTGGTGAATACTTGAAGGAATAGTACTGAAAATATAGTCCATCTTCACCTTGCATATACAAGACTGTAACATCTGCAAGCAAAACACACTCACACACACCTACACACACCTACACACACACACACACACACACACACACACACACAGAGAGAGAGAGAGAGAGAGAGAGAGAGAGAGAGAGAGAGAGAGAGAGTCACTCGCTTCTCCTCTTAAAGAAAGATCCTTTATTCTGTCTACAAGTGTATCTAATAGAGAAGGCCAGACCAGTGCTTCAGCGGCTGTTATAATTTCCCCTGTCAGGGTATGTGGGGAGGCGGTGGAGGGGTTCGACCAGCACTCTGCTCCCTTGCCCCCCCCCCGTCTGTGTGTCAGAGAGCAATTTACATAGAGATGGTACTGCCGCCATGTTAGATCATAGGGCAGCAGCGGAGAAACGGTGCGGCAGAGGAAGCAGCAGCATCAGCGCTCTCTGCTGAGCGGCTGCGGTGGACAACAGAGGCTTTTTACTGGGATGAATGGAATTAAGTCTGCATATAGCTATTTTACAGGGCAAGTGAAAGGAAAACAGAAAGAAAAATAAGCATCAGGGAGTTGTTAAAGGTACCCAATAAAAGATATTGAACACTGTATGGAAATGATTTTTTTTTTAGAGAGACAAAGATGAAAATTGTATATTCAAGGCAGTGCTGTTAGTATAGAATTTCACTTTAAGAATACAACTTTTTTAATACAGAGGTGAGGAGCTCAAATCAGAACCAAAAAGGCAAAAAGAGGTGCAAATTTTATCTAATCCTTTTTGTCACAAACTGAGCCTGATACTGACAATGATTTGATTCGAAAATTAAATGAATCTGTAAATGAACTGACATGTTAACTGAACAGTGAAGACATGATTTATTTTACATTTGAGTGCTGGCTTTTTTTCTATTTATGTTTTGGCAAAACCTTAGACAAACTGTTGCAGCAGAAAGGTGCTGGAATGCAAAAAAACAAAAACAAAAAAAAAAGCTTTTACTCACAGACCTTCCTCAGAACAACAAGGATGTTTTAATAATCTTTCCTTTGTATTTATGTTTTAAAAGGCTATTGAGCCACAGTGCAAATGTATTATGTCTCCTAGAAATGATCTTTTAATACTAATTTGTAACAGTACCTTTGATTTTGAAGGAACATAATTAGGCCTGAAATATGTTTTATCAACACTGTGAAGAAATGTTTTTAATAAACAACAGCTTACAGGTTTTATATTAATAAAGGTCAAACGTGACAGAAGTGATGTGTTTCTGTAACATTTTACAAAACCACAATAATTCCCTAACTTTAACCAAACCGACTCAGGATGTGAATCTCCGTCTCCGGTGTCAAAGTCCTGTACTTTGTGTGCCCACGCCACCACCTTCCCACTCGCTGACCTGTGTCAACAGGCTGACAATAGGCAGACATGGATGTCATTAATAAAAAACTGCTCCAAAATGACTTCTCTGTATAGATAAAAAAGAAATAATATTTCTCCTTATATAAAAACAAATGTCGATGAGAGTCACACATAAGCTCAGAAACACACAGCAACTCTATTTTGTCCTCATGTGTCCTTTAAGAGAAAATACCCGCACACACACAGACACACACACAGTGCTCGAACATCCACTCCAAGAGGGCAAACTCAATCATCCACCCATCTTAATGTTTAACCAGGAGTGTCACTTTGGGACACAAGAGGTTACATACATGAGATAATCACAATATTTACTTTTATGCTTGGGGCAAAGTAGCAGGAATCAGCTGTCATTTCAATTGTTTTTGATTTATTAGCATCTAAAAAAACACTATCTATATAAGAGTACATTTTTAAAAATGATTGTTTTAACATTCTGTGTGTGAGTTGCCCTTTGAG